GGAAGGAAGGAAGGAAGGAAGGAAGGAAGGAAGGAAGGAAGGAAGGAGAAAGAGAAAGAAAGAAAGATAGGAGGGAGAGAGGGGGAAGGAAAGAGAAGGAAAGAAGGAGAAAGAAAGAAAAACAGAAACTGCTTTACATTTTCTAGCTAGAGGGGACTTTGCTATAGCATATTGAGTGCTTCTATAAGTACTAGGATCCTCTAGAAACTGGCTCCGGGCTCTTGTCTCCTAAAGGGCGCTCTTGGAATTAAGCTCCTGTGTTTACAGGATCTGCTTCTCTGAGGCCGCCAGTTCAGGTTACTTTACAAATAAGAAACCGCCTCCAGCCCAGCTTCCTCCCAGCCCCAGGAAAGCTGGGAAATGGACACTTGAAGCTGTAATCCAGGATTAAGGATCACGTGGCTGTTGCTTTAATCATTGCTCCTCTAAATCCAGGAAGCTGGGCAGTGATGCTGCAGGCAGGTAATCTCCGATTGGGCTTCTGCCTGTCAGAAGCGATAGACTGAACAATAGCAGAAAGGCAGGAAGACAGCTCCAGCTTCAGGGTTACCTTCTGGCTGTAGCTGATGTGCAGAGCTGAGTCTGGTGGGCGGGGCCAGTCATCACATCAAGCACATTGCTTTGGGGGAGGAGGGATCTGTTCGCCTTCTTTGGGGACAGATTCCTGCCCTAAATATGAAGTTTAAAATGACATGATTGTCATTTCAGGTGAGAGATGTCACTATTAAAGCAGACACACAGATTTTCCTGTAAATGTTTTTACAGGTCACCCTTACTCTTCCTTGAGCTTTTTCCTAAGGCTTACTTCAGGCCCTGGTGCCCGTTAGAGGAGCCGCAAATGGATCCTTTCAGTTCTGACTGTTCTCATGGATGTCAGCTTTGCAGTTCTTACTGTTTCCAGCTGCGTAATTCCAGATACTGTGTTCTTCCCTGACCCGCACAGTCTCTGAAACTGAGCTCTTGAGCCTGTTGCTACCAGTCTCTCTTCTTTCGCCATTGTTCTTTTCATCCTGCACCACGCTGTTGTCCTTGTTGCTCATCTTCCTGGACTCTGCAGCCTGTCAGCAGTGACAACTTGTTCTTTCTCATTCTCTCTTGCTTAGCAATATTTCCATGTCGGCATTACGAGTGATGGATTTGGTGCCTGCGGTTCGCTTAGCAATCAGACAAGTTCAGCCATGTAATTCTCCCCACTTCTGTCCTTCCTGACAGCTGCTTAGCTGCTATCCTACTTTACTGTGTGTTGTGTTGTTTTCATGCATAGTGGCATGGAGAAGGAAGTTTAATAGCTGTTTGAGCCATTTTGATTTGAAAATGCTAGCTTACTAGCTAAAGGCAGCATGTGTGTGTGTGTGTGTGTGTGTGTGTGTGTGTGTGTGTGTGTGTGTAATTTTTCTGTTAAGAATTTTTCAGAAGCGGTCCAAGCATATTCCTTCTTTCCTTAGTTCTACCTTCATTAGCATTGTCTAACTAGCAGGTAGGCATACAAGAAAAGATTGGGATCCTGACTGTTTTGAAGCAAGAATGTGTTTTGCTAACAGGAGTGACCCTTAGGGAAATGTGTGTTGTTTGAAATCAAGGACTTGGTGACCCAGTGCTTATGTATAAACTGGAAACAATTTGGGTGCTATCTTAGTTCAGGTCTCTATTGCTGTGATGAAACACCATGACCAAAAGCAAGTGGAGGAGGGAAAGGCTTATTTCCCTTACCCTTCCATATCACAGCTTATTCTCGCAGGCAGACAGGGCAGGAACCTGGAAGCTGGTGCTGATTGATGCAGACAAGCTGGAAGTGAGCTGCTTCCTGGCTTGACACTTCTGGCTTGCTCAGCCTGCTTACTTTCAGACCCTAGGACCCCCAGTCCAGCGGTAGCACCATCCAAAATGGACCAGGCTCTCCCACATCAATCACTAATAAGATAATGCCCTCCAGGCTTGCCTACAGCGCCATCTTAAATAGCCTGATTTAACTCAGGCTATTTTCTTAATTAAGGCTCCCTCCTCTCAGATGACTGTAGCTTGTGTCAAGGTGACATAAAAAGCTAGCCACGGCGGATGCTATAAAACTTGCAATCGTTTGATTGTCACAGTGAGACTCTGACATCCAAGTGAGGTGTCATGTTTACTGACTAAGGAACTACTTACAGGCTCCTTGGGAATCTCTCTCCAGATTTGAAAAGTCAGTGCTGAAACATTGTATCACAGTTTTACAGATGTCAAATTTGATCATTTCAGATACCGAAAAAAAACAAGATGTTATCTTCAGTAGGGAAGAAAAGAGGTCCACTTTCATAGAAATAGGATTTTATCTGGGCCCTTTCTCTGACTCCAGGGAATGAAGGAGCCTCATGGACTTGGTGCTACAGTAAGATACTGTGCATTGCCTTTCTGTGTCATTGCTATTACACTATTAAGAGAAACAGCTACGAGATTACAGCCTGGAGAGAGAGTAATCGTAGGTCTTTGTTATTAAATCCCAACTCACCATGAAAAGAAAAAAAAAATACACAAGACAAAAAAAATTGCTTAACTGTTGGTGTATTAGTTCAAAGGGAAAATTGGTATTACTCAGATTTATTTAGTTTCTCATGTTGCTTCTGAAGATCTGATAGGAAGAAATAACAGATGATCGTGAAGAGAAGTAATTTAAGAAATTTGAACAAAATGGTCTGAAGAGTAAAGAGAAGATAGGAAGAAGTACAATTTTTCAGAATAAAATTTTCCATATTTTATCCTACAAAAGGTTTTCATTCATTGTAACAGCATGATGGTGTCAGCAGCATTAGAAAACAGGGTAGATAAGAAATGGCCTTCAGAGTTGACCTTTGAAAACATTCTTAATTTATTTTTTGACAACTTCATACGTGCGTATAATGTATTTTTACCCCATGGATCCCTTCTCCCCAACAAGCAGGCTCCTACCCTCATGTCTCGTTCTGATGGCCCTCTGAGTTTAGCTAGGTTTGCTTACATGACCGAGCATGGGAGGGCACCATGTACAGGAGCATGCTTGGCTTGCCAGCTGACGTTTTAAAAAAGAAGAGTACTCATCTTGCTAAATCTCGGCCTGAAGAAAACAGCATGTGTTTGTTTCCTTGATCCTTTTGCTTGACTTAAATGCCCTATAGGGGAGGTCTGTGTTAAAAGTCAAATTACCAAAGGCTGTCAACAGAAGGTAATGAGTAGTTACCTTGGGTAATTAGTTCTTCACCTAATTATATATTTTCAGACTTTTCTTAAGAAAGTCAAAAATACTCTTGAGGTAGTAAAATTATAAGCTGAGTGAAACAAAATATTCTACTTTGAGAGAGTATAGACATAGCATGACTTAAACCATTTGCAGATTTAAAGAGACATTTATAGAGCAGATGGCCAGCTGTCAGTCATTCTGTCTCTACTGTAAACGGTCCTTTACCTCACTGCCATTTGACAGAATGAGTTGATGACTGGCTGTCAAAAACTCTTGAGAGAGAACTGTTTTTCTTTTGAGTGTGTGTGTGTGTGTGTGTGTAAAAAAACATATTGTCATACTATAATTAAAGCAGAAGACCTTAACAGCTGAATTCTAGACTTGGTTGGAGGGGAGGATAACAAAAGAGAACAAGAAAGTGATGCTATCTCTCAGTAATGTTGAGGGAAAAACTGAGATCACACAACAGACAGTCATGAAGGGTTTGCTGAGCCAAATGGCTTTATGAGTCCCCCACTTTATAATTCAAAACCACGCTGTGATCCTTGACAGATGATTTATGAACCAAACTAAGCATCAACTTATATAAGTAGAAATTATAAAGAATTCTTCAGTTCTGGAAGACTTATAAGTGGTTGGTTTATAATGTATTGATTATTGCTTTATATGACCCTATGGCTAGGATATAACCCAGCATAGAGTCTCTAGCGTCTGGGAGAGAGAGAGGAAGAGAGAGGGGGATTAAGGAGGAGGGAGTAAGGCCAGGAGAGAGGAAAGAAACAAAAGAATAAGGAAGTTGTTAGAATGCAGCCATAGATTTTGAGTTCTGGTTGTTTTTAAGACCAGTTTTAAAAGCAAACACTGACGCAGAGGGGTCATGAGTTTGGTACATTACTGTGGTTCCTGTCTGCTTCCATCTCAGTTCCTTTGTTACTGAAATTGCTTCAAGTGAGACAGGTGAACTGTAAGCCTTTCTTCAGCTACTCAGATTTCCTCTGTTGATGTGCTACTTTTAATGTTTTCCTGCCTATGCTTTGATTCAGGCCCTAAGCTTTAAGTGGTAACTCTAACAAAAGCTTTGAATAAAATAGAATTCTATTTTCAAATTGCTTATCCCTTATCTCTTCCAGAAAAGTTCTTTGAGATGAAGAAAGGACAATGTAAAGATGCGCTAGAAATTTACAAACGATTTCTGACTAGAATGACGCGAGTGTCCGAATTTCTCAAGGTCGCAGAGGTGAGTGGTCCAAGCTTTGTTGCTAAGGTAACCAGAACTAGTGTGCAGCATAATGTCCGGTCTGACAAGACATCTAGCACATGTCCATATTTATTAGTATGAGAAGAAATCATACAGTCACTCCTCCCAACTTGCCAGTCAAAGCAGCCCTCCACGCTCCTGCCTCGCTGTCAGATTCACTCAAATGAAATGTCCATGGTTACGACATCATCGCTGTTCTACAAGATAGTCCAGGCCTCCATTCCACCTAATGACTGTTTTGTTGTTGCTGCTTTATTGTGAGAAAGTTCTGTATTATGAACCCTACGTTTTCCTTTCGAAAAATGTTTTTTGTTGTTGTTTATAAAGTATAAATCATGAATCCTCATCTTTCTCACTCTGTCAATGACTTAAACATAATTAAGAAGCTAAAGTATAAATTATCTTATAGGCTTACACATTGTTCCTTACGGATGTTAATCATAACAACTGCAAAACACAGTTGGCGCTCTTGAGATTATCTTTGAACCGGAGCTTTTCTTCTCTTATGAAAATCCAGTACTTGACTCGTGCTGATACTGGATTTGATGACATTAATGTAGCCGTCTGGTGGGATGGCTTGTGAGTTCCTCTCTTACGTGTTGACGGACTTAGTGTTAGAGCCTAGGTGCGTGCACGACACTCCAGACTCAGTGTCGAAGCCTGTAGTACTGTGGACATGGGACATTCATGACACGTCTGTACTTCTTTATTATTAGAAGGATATAGCTGCCTGAAGTTTTTGTGCTACATGGGTTTATTGTTTACATTCTGTATGGGTTTTTTTTTATCCCTTGGTTTAGCCACAGTTATTAGTATAATCTAGGGAAAATTATTGCTCAGTTTTCTCTGTGAAGGATTATTTATGTCCAGGGACTCGCAGAAGATTGCATCATTGCTGGCCCCAACAGTTAGGAGAAAAGGATTGCTGTCATAGTTCTTGGGGTTTTTACACACGTTTGTTTTTGTGTCTCCTGCAGCCTCATGTTAGCACAAGTCAAATTTATGCCGGTGAAGAAGAGATGTCAGTTTTAAGAGTCTGTCTTTAAAAGACTGGACAATAAATGTATTTTGTGAACATTTATAAGACTTTTTATAGAGTGGTTACTAATTTTATGAAGCTGTTTTACTAGAATGAGCATCTGAAGTACAGTGGGATAACTATAATCATTTATATAGTTCTCTTTCATACTTACATAGTTTTTTGTTTTTTTTTTTTATCATTTGAGCACACCAAAGGTAGTATAAAATGATTTGATTATGATCAGTCAATACTGAAATCTTCAGTAGGTGTAAAGGACCTTAGCTGTGTCTCAGGCAGCACTCACACATCGTATGTGGGCTCCTACCTGATGGTTAATCTGTAGTTAGAGCCACTTTCCTGAAGAGGCTAAGGAAGGCTTGCAGAATGTCATTTTTAAAATGTTACTGAAGTCAAGAAGACATCCCTTAGTGAAAAGGTGTAGTGTGGTTTGTGTGAGGCCCTGTGTCAGAATCCTGGTGCCGCAGAAGCGAAGCAGTGACCTAAGAATGTGTGTTACCTACTTAGAAAGCATTAGTGAGCTTTCCAGAACACTACAATACTACACGCACGCACGCGCACACACACACACACACACACACACACACACACACACACACACAATGAATTCAGTCATGAAATTTCAGGAAAGTGGGCAGACTTGGAAGATAGTCCGTTAAGTGAGGTGACCCAAACGCAGGAAGAGAAAAGCTGCAGCTTCCTTTCCCTGTGTGGATCCAGACTATTACGTGTACGTGTATAAGTACATAGACAGTTGTAAGTAGGGGTCTAGTGTAACAGTTAGAAGGGAAACCAAGAGAAAGCAACGTTAGCTGGCAGGAAAGGACAGAATGAGGCAGGGGACACGTGAGTCATTATTGTGGGCAGTGGGTGTGTGCGTGTGCATGTGTGGGGTGGAAAAGCGAATAAAAATGTGGTTGAGAGTGAAAGTGTAAAGCTGTAAGCTTAGCTCCACTGCTCAGCAGTGGCCATTCTAAGTGTAACAAGTTCCCTGAGTTGTTAAGTTAGCTTAAGGGTGGCTTCCTGAAGCCAGCTGTGTGATGTTTTTACTTGTGAATTAATTTGGGTAAAATGTTTTTATTTTTTTTTAAGAAAAGAAAAATTAAATCTAGATAAGCTGTTGTTGGTGGAAGAAAGTAAAATACTACAATAATTTCTCTTTTCCTTGGTTATATATAAACTCTAGAACAGTGGTTCTCAGCCTTCTTAATGCTGCGACCGTTTAATATAGTTTTTCATGGTGTGGTGACCCCCAACCGTAAAATTACTTTTTTTTACTACTTCATAACTGTAATTTTGATACTGTTATGAATCAAAATAAAGTGTATGATATGTTGAGTATCTGGTATGTTGATCCCAGAGGGGTTTTGACACACGGGTTGAGACCACTGCTCTAGAAGAATGTGTAAGAAACTGGCAAAGTGATTCTGTCAGGGAAAGAGAGGATAAATGCTACACCCTGAACAGAATATTAAGACAAATAACTATTCCACAAGGACTCAGTGGGTGGAAATATTTAAATTTTGTTTGGATGGTTTCATAATTTCTTATCTTCTATTCAACATAAAGGGTACGTTTAAAATTTATGCCTCAGAATATTTTCATTTATTTTTGGATTCTAGTAAAATTCTGCAAAGCTGCCATAAGTAACTATAATAATGAATTTATTACCTTATTATATTGAGTGGGGAACTACATAAAGTGAATTTGCTTAAAGTGGATACACAGTTACTTTACACTAAGAATAAGCTGTAATTTTAACAAATCCTGTGAGCAAACTTACATTAAATGCCAAAAAACATTCATAAAAACCCAGTTAGTAATTTTGTTTTGTTCTGTTTTTTAATCAACAGCAAGTTGGTATTGATAAAGGCGACATTCCCGACCTCACTCAGGTAAGTGTCTTAAGGGCCTTCAATAGACAATATATCAATAATACTGATACAAAATATACCACAGTGGGTAACTTTGTAAATACTTAATAGATTTTGAGTCTGAGCCAGCTAATTTCTCAGGAATTACTCAACCATACTTATTTTTTCTAATTATTATGTTTCTGGAGATAAAAGGGAAATTTTCCTGCCCTTAAGCTATGTTATACCCTAAACAAAAGACTGAGATAAATAACCATTCCCCCAGGACCCAGTGGGCAGAATTTGCAACTGAATGTTCTAATCGGGCTCATTGCCGCCTCGCTGAACTTGAACCAGTGAGAGCTGTGAATGTGTCTGCGACGGAGGTGTGGCTTGAGAAAGGACTTCTGCAAGTCTGTTCTCTGCGTGACTGAAGGACAGCACAGAAGAGAGAAACCCTGGTGACAGGGCTTTGCATTTCCCCTTCCCGCCCACCCCACGGAGAGGAGGACTTTCTATATAGATGTTATTAAGTAGAGGTGATAGAGGACTGATTTTTTTTTTTTCTGGGCCCCATGTTTTAATGACAGTGAGAGCTGGGATTCCTTATCAGCCACGTCAGCTGTCAGGTGCACCTTAGACGGGATATAGATGCTGAGCTGTAAATGGTCTTCAGTATGATTGACAGGAGCTGGTGTGTTTTAAACGCCCTGTGGTGGTACTCGGTCTCACACAGGTCCTTTTACTAGTTGCAGGGGGTAGTGAGAGAATGCGGATCTGCTTTCTTACCCAGTAGTCATGAGTTACATGAACGTCGTATCTTTTTAAACTTGGTTATTATAATAGGAAAGAGTGAAATCCCCCACTTCTTTTGAAAGGGTTTTTATTACTATTATTAGTGTGTGTGTGTGTGTGCGTGTGTGCGTGTGTGCGCGCGAGCTTGCATGAGTTATGTGTGCACCACATGCATGCAGGGTTTGTTCATGAGTGCAGTACCCGCTGAGACCAGAAGAGGGCATTGGAAGCCCTGAAATTGGAGCTGCAGTCAATGGTACCTCACCACTGTGGTTTCTGGAACCGAACCAGCATCTTCTATAAGAGCACCAAGTACTCTCAACCACTGAGAAATCTCTCTAGCCACACTCTCCACTTTTAAATAATATCGTGTTGTGTATGATTAAGTTGCCATCTTTATAATTTCTTGAAATATTTATTTTTAAGAGAAAAATGTAAATATTACTTTTTACTAAAGATTAAGAGAGTTGAAGACATTCTTTTTTTACATTACTAAACCATAAAATATCGAGAATTCATACAAGTAAAATTCAGTGAATAATTCAGAACATGGTGGAAGTATATTCTTTAGTTTGGGGGATGCTAGCCCCCACTCATAGATGAGATATTAGTTTAAAATATTTCTACTCCTCTTAATGTGATCTACTGAATTGTGTACCTGAATAAGATGCTGATATTTTTTAGTATGGGTAACTATTAATTATACATGAAATATTATTTCAAAAATCTCTTTGTTGAGGTAAACTTATCTTGGTAACATCATTAGAAAATGGGTGTTTTCATTTTTTTCATCTATAGCAAAAAATTACATTGCACTTTTCTAAGTATTCCAGATATATAATACGTTCTTCAAAGATGGACATTACATATTTAGCTCAAAGGGTAATTTTTAGAAATAGCAAATTTTCTTTTACACTGTAGACAACCCTCACTGTGCAAACCAGCTATTTAGTTCAGGGGAGCCCGGCAGGTGAGAACAGGCCTTCACGTGTCCCCTGTTAGGCAGTCTGGACACTATGACAGAGTCAAGGGAGTATATAAATACCTTGTTTGTTTTCAATTTTGAAAATGATAGCAGATCACTGACAAAAGGGCCACATACTTGGGTTTCATTTTTAACGATACCATAATATTTGTTGCAGTCTTTGAAATCGCTCAAGAAGTTCTATAGGCATTTTTAATGTACTGTGTATGTATCAGGACTTGTGGAGCTGAATAGAAAGCCGTTCTATGATAGAGGCATTAGAATCCAGAATGTTCCATCTTGTTTTTCTTGTGAGCCAAAGAGTAGCACAAACTTCAGTATTTACTCTTGATGATGAAGTAAGACAGACGACTCCAGCATGTAGGTTCCAACAAGCTTCTTCTTTCAAGCTTCTCTTACTTTACACATACAGATATACACTTACATGCATACACACATACATACACATTCACACACAGTCACATGTTAGGTGGATGGAAATGGATTCCGACCTCAGCAGCTACTCTGCATATACACGTTTGTACAGTTGATGGATGAAACAAACCCCGAAGAGTGAGCTGCAGACCGCATTTTTATTCTTTTCCCCGTAGCTTATGTATCCCAGCAAAAATCTTTCTAGCGGCACAAAAATCACGACGTGGTTACATTTCTATTTTTCTGAAGGTGAATGATTACAATGAGCATACGTTAGAAAAGCATGTTCCTCAATACCTTCACATGATCAAATGTTTTATGTATTGTGGGTGTAAAACAAATGTGAAAAACAAGTTATTCCCAAGAATCCATATGCATTTGTAACTAAGCAGTCTGTTTATATATTAGCAAGGTGAGCAAGCAAGGTAATTTCTCAGCTGACTTTTTCTTTACTGGCGGGCTGCAGTTTGCAGTTACGAAGAGAGAACCAGTTGTCTTAAAAAGCAATCTTACAAAAATCTTAAAAGAATCACAAATCTAAACTTTTATATAAAACGATCATCCATCTCGACTTTAAACCTTTAAGGTGTGCATCTCCTCATGAATAGTTTTTATTAAATCATAACAGGAAGCTGAGGGCAAAACAAATATAAGGAAATCAGTTGCCGTCTAGTCACTGGCCCAGTTTAGAGGGTCATGTCAGGCAATCCTACCTTGGGCTAGTGTTCTGCTTATCAACCTTGAGATTCCCTGGCTTTCCCATTAAGAGAGGACTCTTCTCAACTTACAGTTGTCCTCTGACATTTTCTACATCAGAGCCACTAACAGAAACATCTTTACCTAACCTTGCTAAACCATCTATTTTTCCAAATTCTTTCTAAGGGTGGCGGTCATGGCTAACAATCTCTATCTCTAGGTTCTTTTCAAGGGCAGTGGCTAAATCATTAATCTGCTCCAGCAACCATGCCTGAAAGAGATGAAGCCTTGTTAATTACAAGTGCCAGTGATACTGCCCAGTGAGGGGCTGGAAGCCTCCTTAGAATTTTCACACAATTCATATAGTAGGATTATGAGGTTCACAGTTATAACAAGCAGAGCTTTGCTCTGTAACAGCATGAAGTCCTCAGGACATGTAGTTGTCGTCGGGGCTCTGCTGAGTGGTAGGCTGCATTCCATGAGCTTTCTAGAGCTGTTTGCTGTTCCTCTTGCATGGACTCCAACTGTCTCCCAACTAAAATATTTTTTTTTCTGAGCACTTGGAGTGGTTTCTGAGATCTAATCCCAGATCTCAGTTATCTTTGTGGGTTTTTCTTTTTAACTTGGTTTAGTGACCTATAGCATATAAACGGTAGATGGATGCTTTTTTTAATTTATTCTGGATATCACAGGAAGTTATGAATTCACTTCAACAAAATAATTCTCATAATAGTTTTTCCTGTTTGGAGTGTGTGTGTTTTAGATTTTAAACCCCATTTATGAAAAAGCTCTTAGGTTTTGACGGACATTTTGGTTGGCTTGAAAACTGCTCGTTTTAAAGAGTACATCATCATTGATGACTCTGTGACACATTTATTATTACCTGTCACAGGCCAATTCCAGTTCATCTGATCAACCTTATCCAATTGGCTATTTTTTTTTTAAATGAGAAAACAAAGATACCACTGACTATCAGTGTTCCTTGTTTTTCTCTCACCCAGTAGAAGCATTCTGAAAATGCCTGCTTTAAAGTTCAGAGGCCATTGTTACATTTTACCTACTGTGTGACAGGTGTCACTGTACAACAGAGAGGAAGGGTGTCTCATGTGCTCCTGGGCATTCCTAGCAAAGGACTTTTTTTTTTCCCAAAGAGAAACTTGTTTCCCTTGGAAGTTCACATGTCCTTACGAGAAATATAAACGTTAAGACATTTTAAAAGGCTCAATTGCATTATCTGTAGTGTGTATCGCTCAGTGACTCCTCTGGAGCAAGTCAGTTTTGTTACCCTCTTGATGTCTTCCAGCTCTTGTTATCTCTACTTCAGTGTCCAGCTTTTTCACTTATTAAAAAATTTCGTAGCCAGGTATGGTGGCACGCCCCTGTAATCCCAGCACTCAGGGAGGCAGAAGTAGGCAGATCGCTGTGAATTCCAGGCCAGCCTGGTCTATTAATGAGCCCAGGACAGCCAAGGCTACACAAAGAAACCCTATTTCAACACCCCCCACCCTGTCCCCCCAAAAAAGAAAGAAAAAAATTATCCGGCCAGGTATAGTGGCACACACTTGCAATCCAGCACTCAAGCGGCAGAGGCAGGTGGCTCTCTGTGAGTTCGAGGCCAGGGCTACATAGTAAGACACTATCTTCAAAAAGAGGGTGAGGAATAGAAATTTCCCAGGAAGAATGAAGTTACAAGCAATCATTCTGTTTTGTTTCAGTCACAGCATTGACAGGCTGGGGACTATGGGTCCCATGGAGTTGTTGCTATCCCATGTTTTCTTCAGCATTTTTTAAAATTATAAATAGTTTTGATTTGAGCTCAGCAAAAGAATTATACGTTATTTACAATGCATTTAATTTACAATTAAAGACTCTGCATTTACTTGCAGAGAGCACAGATCTTACGACCAAAGAGAGAGTCCATGACTTAATATGTACTTCCCACCATAATTTATATGAAAATATGAAAAAATGTGAATTTATTCTCATGCTCCTTTTGCCATCTTCACCGTCAGCAGTCACATATTGACAGCAAGAAGAATGTGGTATTATCAAATACAAATTATGAAGGTTTAAGGCAGCTATATTTTCTGTTTAAAGTTACAATGCACATTTATTTAATGAGCATTTTTTTTTTACAATATAGAACCTAATATATAGAACAAAGTTTCCATTAACCACCTTAAAAATTCATTTTTTTTTTAAAAAAACTTATAGTTCATTCTCAGCTGGAGTTTGCTGGAAATTGTTGAGTAAATCTGTCCTCACATGAACTATATTTGACATTCTAATTTGTTTCCTATTCTAGACTTATTAGATATCCTTTGGCAACATTTTTTACTCTGAAGTCTAAAGTTTGTTAGTGCTGATAGGGGCATCTGTTTTTATCCAACTTTTATAGTTTAGATCAAGTCAGTATGTTTATTCACTTACTAATTTTTATATAAAGTTAATATTTTACATATAATTTGCATTCTAATCATGTAATTATATATAAGGATCATATATATGTTGAGAGTCTGCTCTATATGTGAAAGGCTACTATATATGTTTGAGTCTACCAAAAATGAAAATTAATACTAAACACTTAAACATTCAAAAATTTTAAAACTTTTCTAAGTACCTTATTTAATGTGGTTAAATTAAGGTGGAATATAGATTATATGAATTTCTTATAAATGTTTTTGTACTTGAGCAGTTAGTACAGTTAGTGTGAAGTCCTTCAAAATTAATTTTCCATTAAAAATAAATATCGGAATATACCTATGAATGTATGCAGATGTTTCAACATTAACTGCTTTTCTCAGAATATCTATCCTGTTGAGTTCTAGTTTGTGTTAGAAGAAAAAGCAGATTTAATTTCTAATGCTCCAATAATAGATTAGACAAATATTTGTAGAGACCATTATCTCCTCTTTGAAGAATGTACAATAAAATACCATTTTATTGAAATCTTACTGATAGAAAATTGAAGAATTTTTAAGGATTAAAATATATAAAATGTTTATATACAATATTCTATTACATTTCATATTATTTAAATTAAATAAATAATTGGAAAATCTTAATTGCTATTCTGTATTAAGGTTATGCTCTTATTGCCACTGAACCCTTTGCGAAATGTGTTGATGATATTTCCTAATATTTCAGCCAGGCATGCGTAAATGGGTTTTTACTGTATTTTCAAATGTCTGTCAATTAATAGTTGGCACATGTGTTCTGGATTTGGATGCAAATAAGTGCCTATTCCTTTCTCACTACGGTTCTGTGTGAGGCAGTAGTGAACTTGTCCTTAGTCCGTCTAAGCAGTATCTTGGCAGACACCCGTCAGACCTAGGAAACAGCCTTTACTGAAACCATGTTGAAACATCAGTGGGAGGGCGGTGGAGGTAAGTCTGTTTAAGATGGCCTGTCTGAGATGCCACAGAATTTAAACCCAGATGCCAAAGGACATCAGGATGCTTACGTAGACACCCACCACACAGGGTTACAGTGATGTTAAAGTGTGCTTGCCTTGAAAAAGAACAACACAGACATTTACTTTCATTTCTTGTTGTAGGCTCCCAGCAGTCTAATGGAGACCCTTGAACAGCATCTAAATACCTTAGAAGGAAAGAAACCTGGAAACAAGTACGCATTGCTTGTATACCATAAATAAGATGAAAAATGCCAAGTGGTTGGTCCTTCATGGGAATGAGATTTCTCAGGGGTAACGACTCCCTCCAGTGCGCTTTCAGGGTGTGTTTAGCTGACAGCCTCCTGGGTTCCCTTAAAACCCCTACCCTTCCTTCTGGCATGGCATCCGACCTATACAGACAGCCTAGGCGCAGCTCCTGCGGCAGAAGAGTGGGTGGGCCACAGCAGGTTGTCTGGATCGGCTGGTTTACAGATAACATGTGACTCTTTAGAAGTCAAAGCTGTTGTGGTTGGTTGTGGCTCAAACGAGTGGAATTTCACAAGCATCCTTGAATACCAAGAGGGTCCCCACTGCAGTGTGAGAAAAGTAAAGCCTTCGGTGTAGTTCCCTTAAGCCTTAGGCACAGCATGTTGCTGACGTTGTACTCCAGAATCCTTCCATAGAGGGAGCAGCAGGTGGGCAGTGAGCCATGCAGCTTTCGCTTGTTTTGTTGCCTTTGTGCTTGGGTGCTTAGTTTTCGGCTGTTTTTTGTTTTTTTTTTTTTTTCTTCACTGTGTACAAAAGAATGCCCCGGTTCCTTTTTTCCCCTACCTCTGTAGCAGACATCAGTCTTGTCTGTTCACAGGGTCTTCTACCTTCCAGCCTTTGTTCTTTGTTTTCACAGTATTTCTGTAGCCTTGGACCCACCCTTCTCCCACTTCGGTATATCCTACACCTCCTGGGAGGACCCTCTGCAACTCTTCCTTCTTATGATGTCTTCCTTAGTCAAGAGCTTCCTTGTATTGTGGCCATTTATCACCTATGAAATTGCATGAGAGTTTCTGATTCTAAATGGCAGGGACTATTTAATACTTTATTATCTGAACACTTAATGCAAGCCCTGCTACATAGTCAGCTTGTAGTCTGTCACTAGTAGTCCTAGCTTCAGATGGAGTTCACTTAATTTATCAGATAGCTCAAGAACTGAGTGTTGCAGGCCTGCAAGCTTGCCATAGATTTGGATTTGGTTGGTGGTTTTTCTTTTTGCCACTGACAGAGCTGTGAAAATGAAACTCCTATTCTCTCTCTCTCTGTCTCTGTCTCTCTCTGTCTCTGTCTCTCTCTCTGACAGTTCTCTCAGAACCTAAGCTTATATCATGGTGTTATATTTTTGCTAGTTATTTATTACCTGTGTGCTGATTCTTTTGTCTTTTACCAAGTTAGTTTAGTATAGTTTATATATAGTATATGGTATACTTTTAAATTTTCAGTAGGGAAGTTTTTCAGGCTTTTGACCATACTGCCTGAGTGATGGATAACACGATCTCCCTGGGCTGTTTTCAATCCAGGCTGTGCTCCAGTGTAGCTGTGGTTGACCAGATTTTGATGTGAGATTACCACATTAAAAATTCTAGACGCCTACTGTCATATGTTTCTGGGGCCACCCTGTATTGGAAGCTGAGAAAATGTGCCTGCTCCAGGGGCTTAAGGACTTTGCATGTGCACATTTCCCCAGAGTCTGTCTCTCCCTGCTGAGGGCTGCGTGTGTCCTGTAAGCTGCTTCTCCAGACCTTTGCTTTCTCAGGCCCAGCACTGCCAAGATCCCCATGTTCCTTCCTAAACCTTCCAGTGCCTTTTTCCTCAGTCACAGGGCCTTTAGCCAACCATTGACTCTGGCTTGCCCCTGTGTAGCCAGCCACTGTGCACCACTTGAGGAAGATCATGAGTAGGCATTTTTACAAATAGGAACTAAAACTCCGGAGTCCGTAGCCAAGTTCATTCAACTTGGGATAACTTTTTCTAGCTCTTTTTAAATCACTTTCTGCTCGTCAGACTCATTTCAATTTGTCTTTTGCTTATTCTGATTTTAAGAGAAAGCAAGCTTTAATAGTTAACTCCTTTCTTCTTTGTGTGTTTGTGCTTACATGGAACTTAAGTGAAGGGTGAGTACTCTGCTAAGTGACTTTTTTGCATTTGGTAATTACTAAAAATGCAAACAAAACCACTTCATATTCTGTATTTGAGGTTGGGAAATTTTGAAACTGATCAGTGACCATCTCACGTACCTATGGTTCTGTTGTTGTCCCAAGGGGACTGGCATGAATGGTTTTGCTTTCTTTGGGTCTTGTTGGAACATAATTAACAGTATCTCTTAGGTGTACAAATAGCCTTCTTTAGAAAAGGTATTTTTATTTGATAAATAAGCAAAAGATTTTTTTCTGCTGGTACACTGCAGAAGGCCAGGACAATTTTAGAAGGATCATAGATGGTTTGAAAAATACTTTCTTTGCCATTCTGTACCAATACAGAGCTGTTCTAACACGGTGTCAATGTATGTGCATTTGCAAATGTCTGCTGCGATAACCCTAAACTGGGTAGTGGTGGCAGACACCTGTAGTCCCCCTACTCTGGAGGCAAAGGCAAGCAGATCTCTGAGTTCACATCCAGCCTGCTCTACAGAGTAAGTTCCAGGACTAACAGGAACCTTGTCTTAAAAAGCAAAGTAAAACAAAAAGGCTGCTATGATAGGCATGCATGCCATTTATTTTTAGTACCTCATGTCCACTGACATGTATTAAATAATGTCCAATATAGTATGGCATACCTTTGAGTATTCTTCCTTTTATGATTCCATAGCACAAAAGAGTGAAATTAATTTTATTTCTCATGTGGCATAATAAATGTTGAGCTGTGCATTTAGGAAACCCTGGGTGTCTTTTGCAATTAAAATTGTTTGTAAGATATTGATAGTCTTATACGTCTCTGTGTTTTTCTGGATAGCATTTCTATTACATAGCAATTATTGTTGTGGGTCTTGTAAATTTGTAAATAACGATTTCCTCTTTTGACAGCTTGTTATTTCTGTCTTGAAAAGAGACATTAGCATTTGCTATGTTCATAGAAAAAGCCAGTAGGCCTGTTTGTGACGTTTTGGAACATTGCTTAGATTACAATATAAGCAATATTCATTCTCATTTCAGATTATCAGTATTGCCTTAGCTTCCCCAGCTTGATCCATTATGTTACGGATGTCTATAAGGCCTGGCTAAGTTTCCATTGCTGTGGTAACTACCATAACCAAAGCAACTTAGGAAGGAAAGGGTTTATGTCACTTTACACCTCACAGTCAGTCAGTGAGGGAAGAAGTCAAGCAGGCAGGGACCTGGAGGCAGGAATGGAAGCAGTGAACTTGGAAGGACACAGCTGACCGGCTCGGCCTGCTTCATTATTCCATCCAGGACCACCCACAATAGTCTGGGCCCTCCTACACCAACTGTAGATTACAAAAATGCCCTATAGACCTGGGTGGAGCTGTTTTCACAGTTGAGCTCCCTCTTCCAAGATCATTGTATCTTGTGTCAAGTCGACAAAAATCCAGCCAGGACTCCATATATGAAATTATAAAAATGAGTATTGGTTGGCAAGAAATGCTGTTGTCTACATGTAAAAAGTTGTAACATTTTCTCTCTTAAGTGCCAGAGGCAAACATGTAGGATGGGATATCAAGCAAGAATTATGCAAGGAGCAGCAATGTATGAACTGTGGGAGAGGAACAAATGTGCCAGCCACATGTGTTTTCTTTAGGGCAGAGCTGAATGTGGACCAGGGATAAGCTCTGGGTAGCAAACAGGCTTGGAGCAGGGTTTAAGCAGTGATTAATTGCCCCATAGAAACACCTGTGAATATGTCATGGCAAAGGCCGGACAGAGGAAGTGGGAACAGTGGCCACCCCTTTTGACAGCTTAGCTCCACATCAGATAGTTTTATTACATGTTACTGATTTATTTGTGTGTATGGGACAGGGTAAGAGGACTGACTGCTTACAAGAATTTCTTCTCTCCATCTGCCACATGGGTCCAGGAGATCAGACTGGGGGCCATCGTCAGGAAGCACCTTTAATCCACTGAGCTATCTCGTCAGGCCCAGGACAATTTAAGACAGTTGGTTCATTGATGAACCAATAAAATGAATACATAAATACATCCCTACTTAAAATTTTAAATAAAGTCCCCAATATGCCAGATTTTATATAAAGTTCTCGGGTAATGAAATAGTAGGATTTGTTCTTTCACCTTGAAGAACGCAGCACCCAGCAATGAAGAAGGTAATGAGAGACAGTGGGAGTGTAATACAGCAGGCGTCCTGACAGCTCAGGAGTGACAAGCCACTCTCGCTTGTCTGGTTAATCTATGGGGCAGCTACAAACATTACTAGTAAGAGTGTCCTGTGGGGTTTAGTAAAGGATGCTTGTGATTATGGTTTTCATTCACATAGCCTGAGGTTGAGTCATTTAACAGCAGAGGGCAGCATTCTCTCAGCTGCGCTTGCTGTGAGGTAGGAAGCTGCTAACAGTATCTGTGTATAGGCTAGCAAATATTTCAGGAGTTCTTGCTTATTTCCCCCTCTCCTCTCTCTCTCTTGTAATAGTTTGCCTTGTCATGTCAATAATATAAAGAAATGGTTCTGAAACTTGACTGAGAGAAAAAGTAACTCGTTTTCAGAAAGTAACCGTATCAAAGGGTGTTTGTGGTTTCTTTGTTTTTGCCAAGTAAACATTATTTTTAGGTTTTAATTTTTCTCTTTATTTATTTTTCACATAATATATTTAATTTTCTTCCCTTTCCACAAGTATGAAGGAAATTATGTAAGTGGAAAAAGAGATTCATGAGATTTCACCCTTATGGTATGCTAGATTCTTAGGGATTCCTAAATCCCGTTCTGCAGATGCTAAAACACCAAATCGCTTCACTTTAATAGAACCTTTGAAAAGGGGACTTACAGGCATGCATAAGGTAGTAGCAGCAGGCATGGAAATAGATGGAATTTGGATAGCATTGGATAAAATCCCAGTTACTAACTTTAGTATTCACCCTGGAGCTGGGTGGAAGCTGTCCTTACAGCTGACCCTGACTGCAGTGTCTTATTGAAGTAACGTTTGCCTTCATTTTGTCTTATTATTCATTTTATGCCACCCTGATGAGGGAAGTGTGAGCTATTCAGGCAGATGTTTCAGGAGTGTGGCTGTCCTCAATGTGTGCTAGAGTTGGTGCTAACTTTAAAAACTGTTTACTTCCTTAACAGTCCCTCAGGAATGAGCAACAAAGTTGCTCTTCTTTTTCAAACTCCTACTAGTTAGGGCAATTGTATGAGAACAGTTTTCCTGAAGAGTTTTCATCAGAGGCGTAAAAAATAACACATACAAGCAGCAGGAGTGTGGTTGCGCATGTTGAATCTGGCTCACTCACATGGCTCACAGGGATCTTGTCAGATTTTCTCTAGGGCTCCTCCTTTTATACCTAAGAGTTGAAATTTAAATGAATTGCAATACATGACTTTTTGAGCTTCCCGGGGCTTCTAAAAATAATAAACAGGTATTGGTTTTTGAAAGTTTGTATAGTGTGCTTTTTCACAAACCTTGGGTAACGTTTAGAAATTAAAATTTGAACCAGGCATTTTGGTGGACATTAGCAATAATAATGACTTGAGAGAAAATAATTTTGAGTTTAAGACCATGCGTTAGTAGATATTAGGTCAGCGGAAATATTGGGAAGTGGACATAGTTGAGTAAAAGACAAGTGTTCTAAGTTTCTCTGTTGCTGTAAAGAACTCCATGAAAATATTCTAATTTGATGGACATGTACTCGGGTGCGTGCAGTTCATTCTCTTGTTTTCCTTTCAGATCTGGTGCTCCCTCTCCATTAAGTAAAGTAAGTTGGTTTGTTTCTTGGGTTGTTTTCATTTCACATGTTTTGTTGTTTAGCATAAAGCTCGTAGCACCAAGTGTATTCACACTGAAATGTAGCAGTCATACCACACAGGCTGGGGACCTTTCTAATCTTCCAAAAGTGGAAGTCCAGAGTCATGAAATAGTAATGCCTCTTGACTTCAGTTTCTAGAAGCCACTGTTCTTTCCACATCTATAAATTTGATACCTCGTCTGAGTGCATCTAGACAGTCTGTCCTTTTATAATTCATTTATTTCACTTAATGTGTCTTCAGGGCTCAGCCTAGCCTTATTGGTCAAAATTTTCTTTTTAAGGTTGAATAATAATTTTCTTTTACACACACACACACACCAGTTTGTTCATTTTTATCCTCCAATGGGTATTTGAAAGACTTTCAGATTTTCAATATACCAAACAGTACTGACATAAAGTATAATGTGAAATGTCTGTTAGAGGGACTGGAGAAACGGCTCAGTGGTTAAGAGCAGGCACTGTTCTTGTGGAGGACCCAGATTCAGTTCCCAGCAACCACAAGTGGCTCACAACCCCTGGTAATTCCACTTGCAAGGGAATCTGACACCCTCCTCTGCCTCTGTAGGTGCTGTGTGCACATGGCACTCGCAGACAAGTCGGGAGTATAAACTTACAACTAAATAAAAACAAATAAGTCTTTAAAATATGTGTAAAAAAGAAATACCTGTTTGAGGCTCCACCTTCAATTTATTTTGGGTGTGTGTCTAGGAGTAAAACAGATTGACCACTTGATCTACATTTTTTTTGAGAAAAGATTGTTATATTTTTAGGCGATTTAGCTTTCTCTTAGAACCTGAATTCTTAAATAGGTGAGGTTTTCCTGTACATATGTGACAGCTAAAAACATACGTATCTGCATAGTGTTTTGCTAATTAAAAATGCTGCTCACGTGTTGCGAATCTATACATAGGTCATGTACAAGGTGTTATGTGTATTTTAGTGATGTTAAAATAACATTCTTAGGTGTCATTGCCCCAAGCGTGCCTGCTGAAGTACTCTTAGTAATTTCTTCATCAATCCCTCTTTCTAAGCCGATGGAAAGACAGGATTAAGGTCTTCCCTGACAAGAGCATGTGCTCTCATGGGCCTGCCATGCACATCCGCCATTGCGTTTCGCAGGCAGAGGTGTGGTAGATGTGCTTTCTCTTTGATGGATCTCCATTATGTAATTGCTGCCATTACTGACACTCGGGGATGTCAGTATGACTGTGCCAGTGACTCCCAAATAGCATGTGACTGCCTGTGCCTAGCTGGCTGTTTAAATCCCCACAGGGCCTAAAAAAAAAAAAATTAAGAAATAAATCTTTTCGGTTTTTCTGATACAGAAGCAAACTGTTAAAACCATGTTGCTTATGTGACAATGTTCAGTTTATGACCCTTAGTGTGGCCGAATCGGGACTTCCTTTAGGGACAGTTTCTTGACATTCTAGCCAAATAAAAATGTTCTGATGTTTTGTCTTGTATATTAATCAGTTCATTGGTTCTCACATTACATCAAAGGCTCTTGTTACAAGGCATTTGTTACAGGCCTCTGCCACCTTCGTTTCTGCATTCACATTAGTAGTATACATAGTCCTTACATTCTCCCTGCCACTTTCCATGCCATCACTTTTTCTGTTTATTTACATGTGTTAATTAAAAATTGAAATCTTTTTCTTAGAGCAGTCGATGTCCAATGTACATAACATACCTTTAGCTGTATAGCTAGTGTTTTCCGAATCCCTTGGTGAACTTTGGTGCTCTGTTGGGAAGCCTTGATCTTTTTGTAGCAGAGGGAGAATTTAGCTGTGATTTTCCTCTGTGGCTCCTGCGTTTATTTCTTCATGGTCCTCAACACTTGGCAGCTACGTGTCTACTGAACTTTGATTTCATGATTAGTTATGTTGTGGCATGAGTAAGTCCTGGACACTCTTGAAATGGCAGGGTTTCCCATAACTTTCTCATCCACCCCCATTGATTCTTGTGACTTTTTAAAGCTGTTGTAGTTGAAGTCAGGTGGTAGATAGCCTTTGCTTGCTCCTGATCTTCATGCATTTTGTTTACTATAAATTTAAATATGCCAGAGAAAGTAGAATTAGAATAGCAATACAAACTCTTTAATTCTCTAATATATTAACTATTAATAACTCTTTAAAAATTATAGGAAACAAGATTTGTGTGTTTGTGTGTGTCTGTATGTGTGTGTATTCCACACATCTCTGCTTCTTCCCCACACAGTGTTGATGCTGCACACATATACTGTGGCGCTTGGGTTTGTATATAGGTGGTTGTGGATAGAACTCAGGCTCCTGTGTTCTCTTAGAAAGCACTTTACCAACTGAACCATCTTCTCAGCCCAAAGGTTAATATTTTATTTCTTTTTTAAAAATTTTATTTCACAGTATGATGAGATATCCTCAGATTATAGACTTGAATTTTTTAAAAAAGATTTACTTCTTATTTATACAGCATCATACCTGCATGTGTGCCCGTGCGCCAGTAGAGGGCACCAGATCTCATTATACATGGTTGGGAGCCACCGTGTGGTTGCTGGAAATTGAACTCAGGACCTTTGGAAGAACAGCCAGTGTTCTTAACCTCTGAGCCATCTCTCCAGCCCCTCAGACTTGAATATTACTTGTGAATTATCCTCCACCAAACGTGAAGTATTTAACTTAAATGTCCAGGTGTTGAAGTTGTCTGAGAAGATATGAAGTATATTAGGATGAGAAGGAAAAAGTATACTGGTTATATAGCAGTTTTTACCATTGATCCTTTGTGACAGCTAGAGTCCTAATCATTTTAAGTTTAGGAAATATGTTAAGCTTGATTTTTAAATGTACAACTAGGAGTCACTGTAATGTTAGATCACATATTTTAGGAAAATTTCATGTAATTTATATTTAGCTGTTCAATCTCGAAGTGCATTTGGACCATAGATGATTATAGTTCTTAGTTTCAATTGGAGCTTTTTCTCCTGTGAGGAGTTGTAGCCTTAGACAGATGCTTAGAAGGGCATGGGTCTGTAGGCCATAGCTCCACTACGCAGTGTATTTGATGTGCCTGTGTTGATGACTGTGTTGTCATCTTCACTTTCAGTCTTCTCCAGTCACAACTGTTACATCTCCTAATTCTACACCAGCTAAAACTATCGACACATCCCCACCGGTTGACTTATTTGCAACAGCATCTGCGGCTGTCCCAGTCAGGTGAGTCAATGAGCATGTCACCAACTAACCATGAATATTTTGATTCAGTTTTGGTTGTATTTTTATTTATTTATTTTTATTTACTACAATTTATTCACTTTGTATCCCAGCTGCGGCCCTCTCCCCCGTCCCTTCCCAATCCTTCCCTCCCTCCTTTTTCCCTTCCCATGCCCTTCCCCCAGTCTACTGATAGGGGAGGTCCCTCTTCCCCTTCCATCTGACCCTAGCCTGTCAGGTGTCTGTGGTACTGATGCCAAACAGTTTAACCAGATGAAGTCTAGTCTTCAAACTGTGTGACTCAGAGCTATTTTTTGCAGTGTAAAGTAAGGTCTTTTGAGCTCTGATGGTGACTTAAATTCTTAGGGAGACCTATGCTGTCACTCGGAAATTTAGGGAAACATCTGGAAGAAAGGCTCACCTACTGCGGGTCCTTCTGAGGTTGGATGATATGCAGAGTTTTTTTAAAAATCAATTCTACCTGTGAGAAACTTAGAAGGTGTTTCAGAGTGCTTGAAAACCATTAAGAGTGTGGTGGTACAAGCCTGTGGTCCAGCACTCAGAAAAGTGAGGCCAGCAGATGGTGAGTTCAAAGCTCAAAGATGACATAACAAGTTAGGGGCCAACCCTGTCAGTTGAGTTTTAACCTCACAGTTACAAGCTGATTGGTTGGTCATGGAAGGAACACTATTCAGTTGGTGGGAAGAGACCAGTGGAGTGTTCCTAATCACCTTTGATACACCTGCCTGTCCTGTAACGCAGGAAACAGGAATGACCAAGGTCTCAGAACTACCTAAAATGAGTCACCAGCCAGTGAGGGCTTCCACAAATAATATTTTTGGGTCTGCTCTTTCTTTCACTCTGAAGGCATTAAAGCTGCGTTTTAGAGTGTCTATGACTGCAGTCTACCCAAAGGCTTCCACGTTTTTTTTTAGAGGCATCAGTTTTTTGGCAGTTATGAATACACATATTGCTTCCATGTTTACCATGTGCTTCACTTGCTTGCTTCTGCTTCTTATATGCTTGGTAAAACCAAGTGCTTTCTGTTAGCACACCAAAATAAACTGTTTCTTATGAAAAAGTTGATCATGCTCTTTCTTATTTGTTTTTTTATTGTGTGGTGCTAAGGTCAAGCCCTGGACCCCACACATGCCCCCAGTAAAGCTTATAATAATAAGTACATTTCCCTTTTCTGTTATTTAATCTTGTTGTGACTCTATCCTGAAGCACGCAGTATCTTCAGGTGTTAGAAAGCAGCAGACTCCTCTCTTCATCTACTGTATAAAAGGATAAAGAGAAAGCCGCTGTTTTTGAAATGGGGAGCCTGGGCCTCTGAGGCCAGAGAGCTTGTAGTCTGTGCTTCTCAGATCTAAATATAGTTGGGAGTCATTGGAGAGCTCTTAGAGATTCTGATAAAGTAACCGTGGGCTAAGCCTGAACGTTTGCCCTTTGAATAAGATTCCAGGACACTTGGTGTTCTTTGAACGGTAAAACCTAGGCTTCTGTTTGGGAATTGCACAGATAAATAAATTTTGAGATGCATACTCAAACTAAGGTGAGCCCATCAAAAGGAAAACCTGATGTATTATCATCTAGTTTAAGGGGGGGAAAGATCTTAACTTATTTATTTTAATATTACTTGGTTTATGGATTCTTAAGATAGCTTTTTCTACATTTAAAAAAAAACTAGAAAAAAAAAAAAGATAACCCCAAGGTTATGGTACTTAGAGCCCTATAGGGTTTTACACAGTTTACCACCTATTTTTGTAAATAAAGTTTTGTTGAGATTGAGCGTGGTGATTTGTTTCTTTCTTCTGTATTCTCATAGTCTTACTCTGGCTGTAATGGTAGAGTTGAGGAGTGATGGAGCCCACCTGCCCCTCAAAGCCCAGTCATCGACTCCTTACAAAAGTGGTTTTCCAAACCTCTGTGTAATAGCACACCAGTGTCGGATATTTCCTGCACAGGTCTTTGCTGTAAAACGCTTCGCGTTATAATATCTCAGAGTCTGACTGTGAGACTTTCCTTCTAGCACTGCTAAGCCATCAAGCGACCTCCTTGATCTTCAGCCAGACTTCTCTGGAGCCGCGGCAGCTGGGGCAGCGGCACCTGTCCCAGCGGCAGCGACTGGCGGAGCCACTGCGTGGGGAGGTGAGTGAGGCAAGCAGGACTGTGGCTCGTGGTGCGTTCTGTGTGCTTGTTTTAACGTAAGCTGTAATCATCACATGTGCATTTTGGCTGGCCACAATGGCATTAGAAATACGGTGGGGGAGTTGCTCCAGGTGGCCTCAGCTGATCAAATACACTTCCTGTGTGAAAGACACAGAAATTCTACGTAATGCAGTTTAAAATGCATATACTATCTAAAGTTGAAACAAAAGAAATATTTTTATGTGTTTCTAAAATCTTGTTTTTAGTAATTATTTTCTAGAAATGGATACCTTAGGAGGTAAGTCACTTCCATGAATTTACGAGGTTACTCCAAGGAGCATTAACAATTCGGTTTAGTCAAGTATAAGGCTTCGGTTGGTGGAGTTGTTGACATTGGATCTGACTTCATGGAATCCAAATCTACCAAGTACTCTTGTTTCTATCAGAAAAGGTTAATTCTATACCGATAGGCTGAGAGGAAACAGCTAGGCATTTCAGTTCCAGTAGATTTACAGGCCTCAGGAAAACAAACAAACAAACAGTTTTTCATAAACATTTTATTAAAAACACTTAAAGTAAAATTAATTTCTTCATAGCCGGCCACAGTAGCACACACTTATAATCCTAGCACTCAGGGAGGCAGGTGGATCTCTGTGAGTTCGAGGCTAGCCTGGTCTACAAAGTGAGTACAAGACAGCCAAGGCTACACAGAGACACTCTTTCTCAAAACAAGCAAACAAAAGTAAAAAGTGATTTCTTCATGATTCTCAAAGATACAGCATTGTTTGTGAATGCTACATTGTACAACAGCAAACTGTCAGTAAAATTTCAGAGAGTTTAAGATGCGACACAACTGTGAAGGCAGCGTGGTGAAGTGCTGAGTAATTGAAAAAAGAAAAACAGATGATGAGACTGGTTTGGGGTATTTGAGGAACTGGATATTGATAAACATTTGCATAGGAACGTTAGACTGAGTTGGCTAGGCTCCACACAAAGCCGTTGTTACCCAGTGAGGCAGTGAAACTCATGACCTTTAGGTTACCTTTGCTCTTGGGCAGAAAGTATTTCTATTGCTGCGGGACAAGATCTGTAATTTAATATAACATTTTAGAATCAGTGCCCTTAATTAACAGTAAGTAACAAAGTCAAACGAAGTTACTTTGCCCTAGATAAGTAGTCACTGGGTGAGCCTATTAAAGTCAGAAGTGTAACGTCAGAAGTACATCCTGGTGGGGAGCTTTTTCTCTAGGAATGTGGGGGCTGCGGCACATTTGCTGCGTTGTTGCAAAGAAATCCTAACCACGCTGACTGCAGTGGGGAATCCCATTGTATGAGAACCCAGTGGAGGGTTGACTGACTCCTGTGGGAATCGGGCGGCAGAAGGCAGAACACTGAGGCAGGAAGGGCTCTCCCCCTCCGGTACAGCTGCTGTTGCCCATCCCGTCCTGAGCCTACCCATCCTTGGGTCTCTGAAATCTCTTCATTTTACTACCCAGGTTTTGTTAACACAAATGACAGAAAAATTGCAGCTCAGAACTAAAGTCCACAGCTAGAAATGTGAACATTTTAAACATTTATATGTTCTCCTAGACTGAGCCAGTTGTTCAAGGTACAGTGATAAAATATTTAAATAAGTTTGCTCCTTAAATTCTAGCTTTCTTGCCTTTGAATTGAAAGAAGAAACTGTTGCCAAAGAGCCTTCAGAAAAACTTTCTTCCTCAGAGCACTTTTCTCAGCTTTATGTTTTAAATACTTTGTTTGCTAATGATTTCTTTTCGTTCACACAAGGTAATGTGTTTTCCTCTTGATAACTTTAAGATCCATACCCTCAAGTCAGATTTTCTCAGCCACAAAATTTATAAAAACTTTAATAAAAATTTTATAATTAAAAATTTAGTTTTGGTTTAAATTTATTGGGTTATATGAAAAAGACTTTTGGATATTATTACATTAATGTGTTATTTTTAATTCTGTCATGCATTTAAGTCAGTATGCATTCATACTTTTTCTTCAATTCTGTTCTTGACAACTAAATACGTTGTATGTTATATAGTCTGATAAACTGACAATGTATAGTATATTCCAACCCCAACCTCATTCTTACCTTTTTCTTATATGTCTTAGTTTGCTTTTTATTGCTGTGATTAGAACACCAGGCCTAAAAGCAACTTGGGGAGGAAAGAGTTTACTTCAGCTTGCCTCACAGTTGGGGCAGGAACTCAAGACAGGAACCTGGAAGCAGAAAGCCGGGGGGGGGGGGGGAACACTGCTTGCTGGCTTGATCAGCCTGCTTTCTTAAGCCAGCCAGGACCACTTGCCCATGGCTGACAAACCTACAGTGGGCTGGGCCCTCCTACATCAATCATTAATCAGACTCTGAAATATTATAATGAGAAGTGTTTTACCACAAAGACCTGTATAGAAAATGTTAAAGATTTGTGTGGTATACACAAAGGCATGGAAAATCACCTTTGTAAAGAAATAGAAAATGTCCATATGTTTGTCTGTCGTCCGGTCTGATGGATGCGTTTTCTTAGTTGAGGTTCCCTTTTCCGAGATAGCCCCAGTTTGTGTCAAGTTGACAAAAACACTAACTACATTCCTGCCAGTGACCCCCCCCCATCACAAATAGTTCTTTTCCCAGATTCATGGCGTTGGTTTTGCTTTGTGACTCACTTAGTTTAATGGGTGCCATCTGTGTGGGTATTGGATTGGAACGGTGCATTGGAGTCTGGTGAGGTCACCAGAGGGTACACGACTAAAAGCAATGACTCCCCACCTCCTGTCTCTATCAGGAAGCAGATGGTTCAGCATTGAGGAGTAGGGCTTCCTGCACCCCTCCTCCAATGCCTCCCTGTTAAGGGATTTATTCTAATACAGACCCAGTATGGGCATTCCCAGGTGGTGTGGAGTTTGTGAATGGGTGTTGCCTGATAACTAAGGTTTTTACATTTCAAAACCCTTTTCTGTATCTTCTAGCTTCTACATTGTTTTCACCCCCTTTCCCACAGTGTTTCCTGAGCCTTAAAAAAAAAGGAACAGAATAAGTACCATGTTACACGCTAAGTACTCATCTGTTACTTATTCTCAGTACTTTGTATAGTCATGAGTCTGTGCATTGACCACCATTCACTACTGGAGAGAGAGAATTTTCTCATTAAGGCTGCAATAGTGTTTGTCTTTGGGTAAAAAACATAAATATTTATAAGGTAACCTAAATCTATAGCACTTGAACTACACAACAGTATTCAGTACCCCTCTAAGGCCCATGTTCTTCTCTGGCATGTGTTTTTGATGAGATTTACAGTACCAGGCATAGATTCCCTTCTGTGGAGTAAGCCTGAGGCAGTCAGAGGCAGTCGGCTACCCTCGTAACAGTACTACCGCCATTGCACAGTTGGGTGCATCTTTCCTGGTACCCTGTGTGGGTAAGTCTAGTGGTGGTTTTTCTCCTTCAGCAGCTGATAATAGCACCTTCCAGGGCTATGAGATCTAGCCAGCAGGGAGGGATTTTATAGCTCGTTTCCAGCGTGATTTCTTTTGTCATATAACCAAAGTACATTGTGTCTTCAATATTGTCTAATATTGGTGGACACCCAAGAGGAATTGCCTCAATCTGTATTGCTTGGCGGGCCTCTGTGGGCTCCTTGACTAATACTTGTCAGGGGCCATTCCACCCTGGCACTGGGGGTTTTGTTTAATGGCCCTCAGCTTTTAGTAGTAGCAGCTTTTGTCAGCCATGCAGGTTGTTTTTCCTAAAACTCCTTTTTTAAAGTGAATCATATATTTTAAATTTGGCTGCAAGATAATAGGTTTCCGTATGGCTTTTTAGGTTAACCCTCCACCTGTCCTCTCATCTTCCCTTCCCCTGCTTTACGTCTCCAGTATTCCCCCTTTACTTTATATTGCCTACATCACACTGTAATCCCAATGGCCTCTTTCTAGTTTCCTGGTTTCTATAGGATCTCAATATTGTGTTCATGTTTTTTAGTGCTGGAACCATTTGGTGACGGTCACCATTGCCCTTGAGATGATTTATTTATTTTTCTAACCTTCCAACACTAGGTGGAGCACATTTCATAATCTTTGCAAAGACCGTAGTAAGCTGGGAAGGCCTTTCAGTAGGCCTGCCTGCCTGCTTGGTTAGACAGCATCTGAATCTCAAACACACAGGACTAAAGCATCGAGTAGTAATGAGCTGAGGGGGAAGGTTTATTGGTGAGTAATTCTCAATTTCTAAGAAAAATAGTAGAACTCATAAAATGTGAGAGACTTCTGGAAAGAAAGGGGAAAGTAGCCCTCGCTTTAGCCTTTAACTGCTAGAGCTGAGGGTGACGTTTAGTTGCGGATGCAGCTCCCTCATTTGGCTAAGTAAAGCGTACAGTTTACTAGTCTTGTTTCCTAACATCAAGTCACATATTATGTGCTTTTGAATATTGTAGTAGTTGAATTTTATGTAACTAGAGAGTAAAATATGAACTGTGTAGCTTATTTGAACATTCTTATCAGACCTTTAGTGAAAGGATTTCAATATGCAAAGATGGAAGTCCATGAATTCTTCGTTGGGAAACAGCTATTGACACATCTCCATTTCAGGAGACACATCTTAATGATAATATTTTTATATTAGTATAAGACAACCAAATTTTAGCAAATTCATATTTTAATAAATCTAGTTTAAATTTACATATAAATCTAGTTTTTAATCAGACTGATAACGAGCCCATTGATAGAAGAAAACACAGAGACGTTTTGAAATTCCTACCTTTGCCTTCCTAAAAGAAAGAATATTTTCCTTTATTTATAATAAATCTGTGTTTTAGAAGCACAAGTAAATGGGTGGTTTTGAGTCTGTGTATCTAAGGCCTGAGAAAGCACATAGTTCCTTCTTATAAATACTTAACATAAAATTTCTGCTTTTGGAGAAGTACAGGATTGTTGCTAGGGCTGCATTAAAATTTAAATTAATAACCAACGTGCATTTGAAAAATAACATTATGAGGTAATGCACTAATATTTTCCACGTGGATTATTTAGCTTTAACACAGGTGGGTTTTGTGATCTACTTCCTGCTTTGTTAAGAAAATCTGGGGTGTGCTGCATCTACACACCTGCCGCTTGGAGGGTTTGCAGGCGCTTTGAAGTTCTTAGTTCTACCTTTCCTGTGGGACGTTGGATGTGCTCCAGGGATGGGTGAGCCTTTTAAGTGAGGGAAGCACACTTAATCTTCATAGTAACTTGAAACAACCCAGTTGCAGTTCGCTGAAGAATGTCAGTTTCTTTGTTACAAAATTTAACTTCTCTTTGTTACAGTGAACATTTTTCTAGCCATTTTTTTTTAATGCAAAAAAAAAGGCCTTTGACTACGTATCCCTTATAAATGGATGGAATTCTCCTGCTTGAATTTGTGTCCATGTTTTAATCCTTTACAAGCCATGGTTTCAAGACTAATCATTGACCTCGTTATTGAGAAAGAGCTGCCGTGATGGTTGGTTCTGTCACCTTGACACAAACTTGAATTAAAGTACTGCCTCCATCAGACTGTCCTTTGGACAAGACTATAGGACACTTTCTTGGTTAATGATTGATGTGGGAGAGCCGCTGTTGTCAGTGCCACCTGTAGACAGGCGGTTCTGAGTTGTGTAAGAAAGCAGCAGGGACATGGGCTATGTAGCAAGCCCAGTCTCAAAGATGGAGAGTGGGAAAGATGAAAAGAACAGTCAACAAAATTCTGCTCATTATAGATTAATGGCATCAGTCACAGCCAGTGAAAGAGGTACACAGAGGATAATGAAGGCGAAACGTTCTTTCTGGATATAGACTGTGTTTTTCCGAGTTATTTAAGTTACTAAGTAGTCTCCCTCGCCCTCCATTTTTCCGTCTGTAACATGAATAGCTTGGTCTGGAGACTGCCTGGGGTTCCTTCCTGCTTCAAAGTTCCATGGTGAGAGTTGCGAATGCATTTGTGCTCTAATGAGAAATGGTCTGGGAGGGTGCAGAAAGTTCAGGTGGGCCTGGGCCTCGCTCTGCCTGCACATTGGCACAGTCAGATGTTTCAGCTCCAACTCTTGTTTCTTCATACGCTGTCGCCACCTGGACATCGGTAGACCTTTTGGGAGAGGGTGAGTAAAGCTTTGTCTTTGAACTCCACCTGTGAGAGACGTCTGCAGCTGTCTTCCTGTGGCTTTTAGGAGTCTGGTCTATCTCTTGTCCTTTCCTCCTTTCTCTCCCCTTTGCTCTGTCTCTGGTGAAATACAGATTCGTTGGCTGCACTTTCCTCTGTTCCCTCTGAAGCACCGATTTCAGACCCATTTGCACCAGAACCTTCCCCTCCCACTACAACCACTGAAACTGCTTCAGCTTCTGCCTCAAGCACCACAACTGTGACGGCTGTCACTACGGAAGTGGATCTCTTTGGAGGTTAGTCTGTCATACTACTCCTTCATTTCCTTTGAAGATGGTTGACGCACCTGAGATTGAGGCATTTGAATTGTCTCATACTTTGTTAACAACATGGCAGAGTGTAAGTACTTTTCCAGTGTTAGCTCATGTGTGCCTGACTGTGCTAAACTCATCAGCTTCTCTCCCTGTAATTCTGGCGCTTTTAGAGCAGAAGCTGTGGCACTTTGAGCCCACTGGATCTTAAATCAAGAGCTGAGTTGCTGCCAGACTCTGGCCCACACGTGTCCTCCCTGCAGGGCCCGTTTGATCCCAGGCTTCTGACATATTTAGGTGTGGCTTTGGGGCCAGACTAGAACTAGCCCAGGGAACATTTGAAGGCCATGTGAGAGCAATGTTAGCCTAAATAATTTCATACATACATATATACATACATACATACATACATACATACATACATATATATATATATATATATATATATGATACAAAATTTGGATGGCTTAACAATGAGTTGACTATACCTACTTTGAGTGTCGTGTCCAGGTAAAATGTAGGGTCATCTTGACCTTGAAACTTTGAGAGGCCATTTGAAGCAGCATTTGGCATGCTGATTAAAAACAGGTGCAGGTCAGTTTTGGGAAGGATTGTATAGAAATATGCTTTCTATGTAGATGCCAGTTCTGAACCAGTGAAAGGCCCTACAATAGGGCCAGACACAGTGAGCGTGAGAAGCCAGTTCATCTACATATGCACATCTGGGCAGAACCACTGTGCGACCTCAGAGAAGGGTTTGGACCACATACACACATCCAGGGGTTGTTAGACTCATTATAGTCTCACGTTTCCTCATTACCATAAAGCATATTTCCCAGAGTATTTTGAAAATATTGTAAAGAAATTGAAGGAAGCAAGTGATGGTAAAGCCAGGAGAATTTTGGCAGGAATCAATACATTCCCCTGGGACAAACATTTACACAGTCACATACCACTCTGCTGTGTGAAGCACCCTGAGAGCTGAAGTTGTCCAAGACAAGTAGCGTTAGTTAGACAAAGCATTCCTGCTGCAGTTTCACCAGAAGAAATTGTCTGTCACCTTGCTGTGTGTTTACCCCAACAAAGAGAAACTTGTTTCTTAAAAAGCAGAGAAGAGAAAATTAGAGACTCTTCAGGGTCTCACCAGCAGGAGCCCACTCAAAAGCAGAATGTTCTTTGTCACTGTTGCCCCAATCTTTTAATGTTCGTTTTAGCTTAAATTTATAAAATTAACTCCTTCCCCCTTCCCTCCCTCCAACGCCACTGCTGGCACTGAGTCTGATGGTTTCTCAAGCAAGGTCAGTGGAAAATAGGAATGGGTCAGACAGCAGTTTTGTACTGAAGCATTTCTGTAATCATTGTGAGTGAGAGATTTTATTTTATTTTTTTTTTCAGTCCATATGAAAGGAGCTGGGTTATATCTCAAACGTCAAGCAAGTTTGCCTTGCTTCCCTCATAACTTCCTGGGCTAATAAAGCTCCAGATGATGTTTCTTTGAAGTATTGTTTGAGCCACTGTGCTGTCTGTGATCGGTGTCTGTCAAGCAGAACAATGCTATCATGGTGGCATTATTGTTACCTTTAAATACAAGTCTTACGACGGGGCACTACAGAGTCACAGAATGAAACATCAAGTGTCCTGTGTTGTCACCACTGTCCCCTCTGTCATCTGGCAGGGACAAGCGTGAAGATGAGGCCCTCTGTGAGTCTCATCGTGTATTTTATTTCTCTGCTTAGTCCTGTGAATTGTCTCCTGGCCTCAGACAGCTGGAAAAGCTCTGTCCAGCACAGTTGGGTGTCCTTGTACACCACTGCCTCTCTTAATAGGCTTCGGTAATTTTCTCCCTAATTTGTTTCATGCTCTTTCTAGGTTTATAGCAGATCATTTAGAGCTTTGCCTTAAGTAAATACTAAGCTTAAATCTCTGTGGCCATTTTTTTTTTTTTGGCCACCTTAAAATATTTTAGATCTCTAAGATGGGTAAGAATTTGAACTTGAGTAAAGGTACCAGCCACACTTTTTTAAATAACTTTAAAATATACCCCCATGTCACAAGTGGTGGTCACACTCAGGAGGCTCATGGGGAAGAATAGCAAATTTGAGGCCAACCAGAGCTATGCAGTAAGTCTGGGCCAGCCTGAGCTGTATAGCAAGACTTCATCTCAAAGATGTAAAACATACTCTCATTGTATGTAATGCTTATAGCAATATTTTTCTCTAAAAATAGGGGTAGTGAGGTTTAACTCCAGGTAAATACAACTGTGACATTTCATACATCTAAAATTTAAAATTATTTCTTAGGCAAACTTTTAAGAAATAGAACCTGCTTCCTGTGGTCATACAGAGCAGAATTATAAGATGGGCTGTGCTTTAAGATTTTATATAAGGAACAGATAACTGAGAAAGGACAGCATTGCTCTTTTCAAATATCCTAGTTGGAGGCTGGTGAGATGGCTCACGGTGAAGATATGTGCTGCTGAGCCTGATGACCCGAGTATTATTCCTGGCACCCAAGTGGTGGAAGTGGAGGTCCATCTCTAAAAAACAAAACCTTTCCCACATTCATGCCTTTGGGAGAAGTTTTGGTGAGAGTTTGGGAGACATTTATAACATGGGCGGCAGCAGGGCCTCTTTTCTTTAAGAAACATTTTGATGGGAGTCAAAAGCTAAGTCCCTGATGTTTAGCCCTGGCTAACAAGAGCAGCATTGAGAAGAGATGTGTGGCTGACAGGGGAGAAGGAAACTTCTCCCACAGTGTCACGGTTAGTGTAGGTTTCTCTTGTGCATGCGTGATGACCCGAAGAGCCTAACCTGAAAGCTCCTGCTGGGGTCTTGGTACTCATGCCTTCATCGTAGAAGCTGTGAGAGGTGCAGCAGAGGGACTGTGGCTTGTGACTGTTCTGTCACTGAACACGAAAAGCTCCAGCAGATAGTAATGGACCAAATCCTGACTCGGCCATTTACTGGCTGCGTGCCCTGGATCGAATAACCCAGGTTATTTTTTGTTGTTGTTGTTCAACTGAAAAATACAATTTACACATATTCTCATGTGCAACAAGATGCTTTGAGTTATGTGTACATTAAAAGTTGTATATTCCTTTGCATCAATTTTTTGTGGGTAGAGCACTCGAAATCACTGAACTTTGGTTCTCTCCTTACAGAGTGGAGGTAATGAAAGGCACTATCTGAAATAGTTACAGAAGTTAAACTTAATAATTTTCAAAAATGTGTCTTTGGGGGGTGGGGGAGGGTTGTGATTCCCAAAGCCTCTGACCTCAGTAATGAATATATAGGAATGGGAAGAAAGATCCTGAACTATGGCAGAATGTTGGGAGCACTTCCACCTTCCTATCCTCTGCCTCCTGTCCACTCTAGGGTTTTCGTGCTGCTCACAACCCTCTAGTGTCCGGGAAGTAGGTCTGCACTGTCCTTGGAATGGTTTTCATTCTTCCTTTCATTCACATGGCTCCCCACCCCCCATCAGCCATTCCCTCAGGATAGCTAAGAGAAGTGATCAGATCAAATTAGAATGTGCCCTAATACTGTTTTTCTTACAAAAAAAAAAAAAACACTTTTAAAACAAATAAGGCTCTTGTAATGTTATTTTTGTTTTATCCCACACAACACAAGGACTCAAGCTGTTAATTAAATTTTTTTATACCTTACTGCGTTCAACTGAAAAACCTTGACCACAGGACCTCCTCAAGCTTAATGCATTAAATGAATCTCTGAGAAGGCAGCAGTAGTATGTGTGATGTTTCTCAAACATGTTTGACCAGTTCCTCTTGGTGACTAAGGGCCAGTGTTCTAGGACGCACAGTAAACAGTACAGGAAGCCATACTCAGGGATGAGAAGTGGCAGGTACAACTAGGTTGATCCCATTCTCTGAAGACTTTAGCTCCATAATGGATATGGTTTGCTGGTGGGCACGCGCTGGGAAGGATTTGCATCTCTCAGCCATCAGTGTATATTTACGGTCGGGAACATAGTGTGCAAGGCTCTGGGTCCCGCCCCTAACATTGTAAAAAGAAAACACAAAACAGATTTTTATGAGCTGGGACAACTTGTATGTTAATGGGGTTCTTTCTATAAATAATGCACTTGTAGTCTTAAAACATGAAACTATATTTTTCATCTGTTGGAAATGGATCACTTTCCAAATAACTAGAAAATATAATAATATTTGAAAACAATAAATGTAAGTAGAAATAAAGACATTAAGCATCATGCCCTAATTTGGTTAACTGTTTGTTTCTTTTACTCTTTTATACCTGATGATTTTTTTCCACGGTTAGTGAAGGCCTTTTTTTCTGAATACTTATCAAACCTCTCATGTTAACACTATGATTTCTTTTTGACTGTAATAGACTAATTTTAAATTTGGAACATTTGTTTACATAGCCATTATCTGTGTAATATTATTTGCATACAGAGAAGACATTGGAATTTTCTGGAAGCCAACAATCAGAGGTATAAGAAAAACGCAGCAAGGAAGAATATTATCTGGACATGAAGTTTAATGTCTTAAATTGCATAGTAAAGTTATTTTGTGTTTTGACATTTGCATCCATTAATTTCTGGTGATGCATAAAACATGCTTTTTAGAGCCCTTATACAATGAGAATCTTGTTGGGTCACGGCGGCCTTCTGTGGTATCCACGTACCACTCTCCATGTGTTAGCTAACGGGGGGACACAAAGAGTAATTGTTTTGTGATTACCAACAGTGCATGAAGACATTCGTGTTGTATAAGGGAGCTTTCTTCACAACTAAACTCAGTTCTTTTACTATATTTTCTTCTCTTTTTATTCCTTTAATTTCTGTTATTTTTAAAACTGCACCCAAGATGCCTTTGCAGCTTCTCCTGGGGAGGCCCCTGCAGCGTCCGAAGGGGCCGCCGCACCAGCTACCCCCACCCCAGTCGCTGCAGCTCTTGATGCATGCTCAGGAAATGGTGGGTTTACATGAGCCAGTATGTTGTCTTTCTGTCCTGATGTGAAACCTGCATAGTTAGATGTGGCCATATGTTTTTCTAATTTTATTTCATTATTAATGTAACCTTGTCATTCATCATAACTGAATAAATAATGCCAACCCCTAAAACATTAAGACAATGATGTGCATACTTATCAAAATTGGCAATTCCTCAAGATTGACAATTTTTCTCAATGCAAGTATGCTCTCTTAATGTTTCCCCCCTCTAATGCATTCCTTTATGATATTGAGTTCAAATATATTGGCATGTTTTAATGAACTTTCAGAGCCACCAAATTCATTAGATTGGGTAAGGGTACAAAAAATAATGACCCCTGGACCAAAACTGTAGGGTAATCTCACAGCATCCCACGAAATATTTCAGACTCAACTTGTGGTACCGATTGTACTTTCTTTTTTTCTTTAGAAAAACATCCAGATTACAGCTAAGATAGTAGTTAAACCCATGCGGTGGAGGCCTAGCTAGTATGTGATGTGTGTGAAGTGTCTTCTTACCTGTAGTTACGATTCTGTCTCTTGCTCTTTCCTCACTGATGCTGTGTGTGTCTCCACTTTCCTTTCCAAAAGACCCCTTTGCCCCATCCGAAGGTAGTGCAGAGGCTGCTCCTGAGCTGGACCTCTTTGCCATGAAGCCACCCGAGAGCAGCGCTCCTGTAGTCACCCCTACAGCTAGCACAGCCCCTCCAGTTCCCGCAACCGCTCCTTCTCCTGCTCCCGCCGCTGTGGCAACCACTGCTGCCACCACCACCGCCGCCGCTGCCGCAGCTGCCACCACTGCCACCACCTCCGCTGCTGCCGCCACCGCCGCCGCCGCTCCTCCCGCTCTAGATATCTTTGGTGGTAATTTGTCATTGTTGTTACTGAATTTCTCCCACCTGGTGGCTTGGACCTCGTCCTGTAATGCACACAAGGCTCCTATGCATGAAACCTGTAGTCAAGTGGTTCTCTAGAAACCATTTTCTACTTAACCCAGAGTTCCTCTAAATGCTCGTCCAGAGAACTGTCAAGCAATGCTGTGACAGGCTTGATTTTTCAGACTTGAGTGAAGGCCTGTGTGTTCTTGGTCTTAGATTTGTTTGATTCTGCTCCTGAAGTTGCTGCAGCACCTAAGCCAGACGCGGCTCCTAGCATAGACCTGTTTGGCACAGGTAAAGCAAAGCAACCGTTTTCTTCAACTGTTTGTGTGGATGTGTCCTTGGTCAAGCCCTGTCCTTGGTCAAGCCCTTTATAGTTGCTGTGATAATGCATTTGGTAAACGTGTGACTCTGATTTCACCTTTCTGCTACTTACTTCTGCTTGGTTTGGGTTTCTTTTACTTTTGGAAGATGCTTTCTCCTCTCCACCACGAGGGGCTTCTCCGGTGCCCGAGAGTTCTCTCACTGCTGACCTCTTATCTGGTGAGTGCATGTCCAAGGTCAAGCCTTCACAGCTGTCTCAGGAGGGCCTTGTGGGAGGCTCATGTCCGGGAAAGACGATCCAACACCTTATAGGTTTATCTTATGTACTTTAAGACTCAGAATTCACCTAAGAAAAGAATCTCATTCTTTACCAACTGGTAAGGGTTGATATTTCAAAACTAAGGTTGGCAAAGAAGCAATTCCATTTCCCACAAAATCCTCCAATATTGAAGGGTCCGTTTTCATTTGCTTTCCTTAACTGGTAAGATTTTTTCCACCGTCTTCCTGTAACTGTGAAATCTTGGGGCCATTGCCGGGGGCTCTGGGTTTCACTGTGCTGACAGTGACTGGCGTGTTCCTCTGTTCTTCACCACAGTGGACGCATTTGCAGCGCCATCTCCTGCAACCACTGCCTCTCCTGCAAAGGTGGAGTCCTCAGGTGTGATAGACCTTTTTGGGGGTGCGTATCTGTCCTCCACACTTGGCCATCTGGGCTCTTTTTTTTTTTTTTTTTTTTTTTTTCTGAGTGGATGCTCCTCTTTCATTCTAATTTGTTCTGCTTCTTTTGAATGTCATGTTGCTTTCGTTCCTTACATGTAAACTTCAGTTGTACATAGCTTTTTTATTTCTTCTACCATCATCACCTTCATCCTCGTTAGTTCATCACAGCTTTCAGTGCATGGCCTAACAAAAGCCAGAGCATTTTTCATGTGAAGTCTTTGTGTTCAGCCTTTTGTTTAGCCTAATTTTTAATCACCTGATCAGAATTTCTCCTTACTATTTCCTCAAAGATCCTGACCTGCTGGTTACATGAACATTCTTAAGTTCTTTAAAGCAATATAAATATGAAGTCGTTAATTCAGAATTAAAAATAAGCCAGTCAGATGTCAACATACACAGTATATTGAATTTGATGTTTTTAAAGAAACCTTTTCGGAGAACTTAAGAGATGTTGTTCTGGTTTAAATGTATTCTTTTCTTCTCTTTATGCAGTGTTTAAAAACAGAAAGATATACTGATTGTATCAGTTGGTTATCTGTGTGCATGACAAATCTAAAGTTCTTTGTTAGCAGGAAAGGTCTGAAATGAATCATGAGTACCCATAAAAGTGAGTGTCTTTGGGCTAAAATATCGTCTTTGCGAACTGAATCCATATTTATTATCTACTGTCACTGGAACATCCTGGTACCTGCTCATATACTAGGTATATGAGGGTACACAGAAGTCACAGCTGTTGACCCCCTAAAGGTGCCCAGACTTAACCCAGACATGTAGGTACAGGAAGAGCTGCTGCTGTAGCAGCTGTTCATCGGGCACATTAAATGTTTAGAAGCTCACATGGGAGATGAGCTTCTGTTTTACCTTTGTTTAAAACGTTTAAAAATCTCAATCCTGTTTTTGATAAATGATGAAGTTTAGTTTGAAACATTTGTTCCCTTTAAAAAGTTTATCTCTTAATCTTACAATGAGGCGCTAATTCTTAGCCATTCTAGAACTCTCCTGAGAGGAGTATTGTGGCACACGCCTGCAAACCCTGCTCTTGGGGAGGCTCCCATAGCAAACACGAGCTATATATTAACACTCTTGCCCAAGAATATAAATTAAAACAGTCTGATTAGAGCATGGTTTAGTTCAGCTAGTCATTTTATGTATATGCAAGAGGTAGGCTCACCATTCAGAATGTCATGTCTGTGCATGTCTCTGCGTATATCATACTTGGAATGCTTAGTTACTTACTGTTTGACCCTCTCACTTTCTTGCTGCGTGACGGATAACGGATAGATGCATTTGGAAGTAGTGCTTCTGAAACCCAGCCAGCACCACAGGCTGTTTCTAGTTCATCAGCATCGGCAGATCTACTAGCTGGTAACTGTTTCCATTAAAATGGCATTTTGTAAAAGTTAAGTTTGGATATAGTTTGTAAGTAATAGATACTACATGAATTGCAAAGTCTACCTTTAAATTTTCCTTTCAAGGCCTGAAATTAAAGGATATGGCATTAAATAATGGAAGTTTATTAGTCTTAAACCCACAGTTTTGTATCTGTTAAGCCACCCATGTTGATAACTTCCAGTCTTACTCTAAATTATCATGTTTGTTTTTAATTTGCCAAAAAGGTAATATGCTTTGTATACCAATTCTGTCATAGAATGACTGCTCATATTACTTAGAAGGAATCTGTGGTAAACTATACTGTGATATTTGACAGTGGATTTTGTAATGTGTGAATTACCATAGAAGAAACCATTATAGATATCTCCTCTTGCATTGAAATGTTGTGACACGTGTCATGGACTTTTTGAAAAGCTGATTATTTTTCTTTCTGAAAACACACACCCTTCTAGGAAACAGATGGGTACAGTTTACAGGTATCACTGCTTATTGCTAAGGTAATAGGGACTGATTAAAAGAACAGTTCAAAGACTCAGACACCGTTAAAGCCAACCATGTGTCTTCTTTTGGGTGGAGACAACATCAGACTCAGAACGTGGCCAGTCGGAAGACCCCAGCAGAAGGCTGAGCCCCAGCTTAGCTGAGGAGCTCACAGCATGCTGACCTCACTTGGCTTCTGCTTGAGGGCAGCACAGCAGTGGTCTGGCAGGGGCCTCTTGACACTCAGGTGCGGCTTTCAGTGTACCCCAGGGGATGAAGTTTGGTCCTCGGGGTTAATGTGAGTGGCCCGAGCATAAGGAAGCCCCCCATCTAGAATTCCTTTGTTTGAAAACCCCAGCATCCACGTGGCCCGTAAGGAGTGACCGACTGGTTTTGACCAAGTGTAGCCATAATTCACAACTAAAAGCAGTGTAAGCAGGATCTCCTCACCAGGAAGAGTACTAAACACGTCAGAGTTCTAAGACATGTGATGAGTGACGGTGGATCCTAATGGAGCTCCCCCACCCCCATCATCAGTGCTGTAGAGTTTCCCTGTGGTCACGCCTTTTCCCCAGGAACAGGAGGAGATAGAGGCAGCCCCCACTGTTCACATCCCTTCAATCAGTAGTTCTGTCCGGTGGCTTCTGTCTCTCCAGCAGGGGTACTTTTGCACCCTCTCTGGCTACTTGCCCCAATATGATGCTTTGTTTGATTTGCCAACTCCTGTCCCAGGGACTGCTACACAGAACCAGAGCCACACTTTGATGTTGCTCTGTTGTCTGGAAGCTTAACTGTGGCATGACCGCCCACCGCTGTTGACTGGAGACAAAGCCTGCCAGCCTGCCTGGCTTTCCTCTCCTCCCTGATGCATTTCACAGCAACTTCAACTTGGCCAGACACTTTCAACCTCTTACCAAACCAGCACATTCGGGTTTTTAAATCTGCAGTAAGATTTTAACAGGCCACAGAAATAGCATCGTTTCCAGGCGCCTTGGTGAAAATGATCCTGCTGGTTTTTAAATGAGATAATCGATTATAAATCTTTGGCTTTGAAGTTATGGCTAAAATCAAGTGTGCTCGCTATCTGAAGAATTCCAGGAAGCCTTTGCTGGACGTCTGCTGACCTGCCATTGCCAGTATCTGTCACAGAAACTGTTAGGCTCACTAAGGAGGAGGCTGGCCACAAGGCCACACTGTCTCACTGAGCCCTCCAAGGCCACGACCTGAGATACTGTTTCCACAAGAGTCTAGAACATTAGGACCTAGAGCAGAGCCAGGGATCTTGGGATAAGAAAGCATCCCCATTTGTTGTCAAGTCAGAGGCTGGTGATAGAACCAAGAGTTTTGAGCCTAGGGGCCCCCACAGGATCTGTGGCTCCCCTGGAGAGCTAAGGACCATAGCTACAGAGAGATACGTTCTCAAAAGGCTCACTTTGGGTCGTGTCACACACACACACACACACACACACACACAAGCTTAAATTGTTCAGTTGACCAGTCCAAAATCTTACTAAAGTGAGGTAGGAAGGAGATGAGTGACAAGCCTTCCAGCGCCTGTGCACTTTTAAACATGCGTCGTTGATTCTACTCTTCCATTCCCTCCACTGCCTTTTCCTGTGACTCTTCAGTAAGAAAAATAATCGCACAAACTTTCATGTTTCTCTGGGCTGCCTACTTAAGTAAATTAATGTTTAATGCAAATAAGTGTGCATGGGTTTTACGATCTGCTTTGCATCAAAACATTCCCTGCAGGTGGGCGCAGTGGCACACTCCTGTAATCCCAGCACTGGGAAAGGCAGGGACAGGCGGATCTCTGTGAGTTCAAGGCCAGTCTGGTCTACAAAATGAGTCCAGAATAGCCAAGGCTACACACAGAGAAACCCTGTCTCAGAAAAAAAAAAAAAAAATTTGTAAGTTACTTTGGTCATGAGAGATGTGATTTTTTTTTTTAGCATGACCAGCTTTTCACTCAATATCCTGATACAAGGAAATTTAAATTACATTTTTGATTTTTCTAAAATTTAATTTGAGAGGCCAGCTTCTCCCTGTTTAATTACAGAAAAACATTTCTTATGGTTAGTTCATATAAAACGGAACAAACATTGGGACACAGCGTTAGGACTGTTTGCAGAGCTTAGCGCTTTGGTTTGACTTGTGTATATGTCTGTGTAGAGCCATCGCTTCCAGGCCCATCACCTATATAAAGAGCTTTAAAAAATTAACAAATGAGATGGGTATGGTGGAGCACATGAGCAATTACAGCATTCAGGACGCAGAAACAGGAGGTTTGCAAACTAGCTTGAGGCCAGCCTGATCTGTACAGATGGCACGCAGGGCTTCATAGTCAAGAACTGTCTTAAACTCACAAACAAATGTGTCTAGTAAAAAAATACATATCCACAGCTATGATCAGGTTAATATTCAGATTGAAACCACCAAAAAAAATTGCATTTTGTGAGGAATTTTCTAGTCATATATTCTTTGTTATAATGAAACTATTTTATAAAGAATCAAACAAGAAAGATAATGAACATGTACCATTACAGGCAGATTAGACTATGCAGAAGAAATCTTGGCCACTGGACTGAGGCAACTTGCCTCATAGCAACTAAGATTTCTTTCTGTGTGGCCCTGGGAACCAAACTCACAGCTTTGTTCTTGCTAGTTTTTTGAAGGAGTAAGTTTACGTATAAGTCAAAGGCAGTAAATAGATGGTGGGTCAAATGCTGAAATTATTTTTAAAGACTTTAGGCCAACTGCTAAAAGTAACTTTAAAAACGAAAAAAAAGGTACTGAAATTTTATATGTATTATAAAACCCGAAAACAACAAAAAATAAACTAAATAAAACGAGTAAATTCTTTTAGATTGTTATATAAAAGCCAGTTATTTTCACTCAAATTAAGATCTAGACTTATGAAATAAAAATCAATTCCATCACCAAAAAGTTAATGACGTAACGCTTTCATCTTTATCTCCTATCATTTTCAGTGTTTCTCAACCTTCATAATGCTCCTGCGCTCATGTTGCGATGACCCCAACCATAAAATTATTTTCATTGCTACTTCATAATTGTACTTTTGCTACGGTTATGAATCATAATGTAAATATTTTTGGAGAAAGAGGCTTGCCAAAGGGGTCATGACCCACAGGTTGAGAACCACTGATTTAGGTAAAACTCTTAAATTGATTGGTTCACCCAGGATAGTGAAACTAAAGAAAAAAGCCAGAATAATGGCTCTGACCGCAAGCGTTCTCATGGGTTGCACCTCATTGGGCTGTTCTGAGGACAAAATAAATTCATATATATTTTATATGGGCCACATAAACAGAAGACTGCTGTGGATACAGATATTCATATTTTATATTTTAAAGTTTTGTTTTTTTTTTTTAAATCCTACAGTTATTTTTAAAACACGAGGAAGGTTTTCTATTTCCATTTCTGGAGGGGAGTTAACGCAGTTGCACCATCCCAGTATAAACTTTGTAGATGCCGTCATTTTTCCACAGCGAAAGGTTGGATAAGCCTGTGGTAGACACTGACGGTTTTGCAGGATCTCGTGATCAAATGAGGGCGATTGCCACGAATGGGTCCGCTCAGAGCAGAGCGCTCAGAGCAGTGGCTTGCCCTGAGGGCGCCTCACCCCACTGTTGTCACGGTCCGCCTCTGTAGAATCGGCATTAACGAATGGAGCACTGTTGTTCATCCACCCATGCCCGTGATCTTAGCTTTGAGTGAAGCACATCCCTGCTCAGCCAGTCAGCCCTGCGTGAGCACGCACAGACGCACATTTTCCCCTTTCTGTGGCTTCTACCGAGCAGTTTGACTTTCCGCAGTCCCTTCCAGCTTTGGACTGACAGAGGTGAAACACATGAACCCGTGGTACTTTCAAACCACTGTTATTATGACTCTAGAATGTTTTCTTCCTGGGTGAGATTTTAAGAAGCTGAGTCAAGGGCAGCCATCTCCAGTCGCATCTGTAACTTAAGAATTAGGCCAGGTGACGTGACGGTTACCTAAATACCAACCCGAGGTGATTTATAGGGATAACATGATGTGAATATTATTGCTTACTGTCGAAAAGAATACCAAAGTTTAATAGAAATTACTTTTACAGAAGATAAATTGGTTTTGTAAGTTGCGATGTTAATACATGTCTGTATTTTTGCAAGCTAATTGTGAAAAAGAATGATATGGCTAAATTTGGAAAAAAACATACCCAACAAGTTAGTGATAAAAAAAAAAAACCTTCTAGCCCTAGTGGTGCATGCCTTTAATCCCAGTACTCAAGAGGCAGAAGCAGGCAAATCTCTGCCAGTTGGTCAATACAGTCTATATAGTGAGTTCCAGGCTTATCCTGGCCTACATAGTGAGACTATAAGCCTTTTATAAGAGAAAATTACCTAGTGTCTTACTAAGCAATCACCAGTCGCCTCCTTGCAGATTTGTATGTTTATACGAAAGCAACACATGTTCACCCTAGACTTCTGTTTCTGTTGCTTGAGAGACATGATCTGCCTCTGAAATCCAAAGAATAAATATTGAATTTGATATCTGAGTAATTTACCATAATCTTTTATAAGTTCTTATCCTTCACTCAGTAAACATTAACTTCCTGGTTTGGGCACCGTGTTAATATTACTAGAAAAGACAGGAGGAAAAGGCACACAGCTCCTGAACCTAGCAAACATCTCTGGAGTTAGAACTTGGGGAGCGTAGGGATGAAGGCATGCTGGGAGTGGGCTGGAGTGTGTTCCACGTGCTGAGGACAGCGGCGTGCATGGAGGGCGGAGCGTGGCCAGCAGCACCGGGTAGCCACACATCATGGAATTCCTTCCAGAGGCCCGTGATGACAGGAGCTGTGAGCTTGGCTACAGTCTTGTTTGCAGGAACAGGGAGCATTCAGAATCAGAGCCAGACAGCGCTGGCTGCTCTACAGAGGGATCTGAAAGCGATAGGGCACCAGTGAAAGCCTTCATAGAAGTATGTCAGCGTTGTCTGCTCAGTGCGACCTCCCTGGCTTTGCTTTGAGGAGAAGCCTGGAAGGGATACACACCACACGGGACATTTCTCCCCATGACTTAACCTGAAAACAGTGATGAGTGCCAACCTACCCTCTGTGGCGCCTTGGGGCGAAAAACGTGTGAAAGCTAAGGATTTTATGCCTATTTAAAAAAAAAAATGCATTCATTACTGAGCCACTGTGCACAACTAAGTATGTTCTGTCACTGTAAAGTTTCAGTGTGATGAAGACTGGTCTGAATTCTAACCCTTCTTTGCTTTATGTGTTTCCTCATAGCAGATCCCTATACCACAGGTTCCAATAAGGAACCATGTACGTTGTACTGAGGTGTTTTAAGTGTTACCTTGCTTCTGGTTAGATTGGGTCTGTCATTCGTACATGATACTTGAGAAGGTTTTTGCAAAACGAGCCTCCTGGTTTTACAAATTGCTAATCGTACAGCCATTCCTCTCCAGTTTTCTGACTGTTTTTATGGCCTTTCCCCCACCTTCAGCTGACTTTCTTCTGGGACCTTTTTTCTTTTTTTCATCAGGATTTGGGGGTTCTTTCATGGCCCCATCTACAACACCTGTGACTCCAGCTCAGAACAACCTGCTGCAGCCCAATTTCGAGGCAGCTTTTGGAACAACGCCTTCAACTTCAAGCAGCAGCTCCTTTGACCCATCAGGTGAGGCATTGGTGGTTCGAACACTCTTCCTTATAGCATCTACTTCCCAAGGTTAGCGTGATAGCAGGAACCTTACAGGCAGATATTGTTAAACCTGGTTGGTGGCTCTCTTTCCGTGATTCGAATTAAAATTTCCAAGACATGTTTGGTAGCTGTAAAAATAATCTCCTGTCCTTTCTGTTTCTGTTTCTTTGAACCTTAGCAGAAATCTTACCACACCCACCATCTGTTTTGCACGATCTCACATGCACATGGTTTAGCGGTGGTAAAGGGAGGACAAACACTGTGTAGTGACTCTTTGGACAGTATCTGGGTGTGAGGACCTCCCTCCCGGCACACTCCTGCTCCTTCCGTTGCTTGCGCCCTCTGAAGCTTGCATGGCCCTTGGTTTTATGAAGTTGAGACACAGATACTACCTTTGCTTCTAACCTTTCATCACTGCTGTCATTCTGTTTGTATTCTCTTCCATTCTACTCTTCTCATGCTGGGTCCTTCCTACAAATTTTCAATTGGTGAGTTTTTTTGGCAATTAAATGTGTTTCAGAAACACCCTAAATATATCCCCTGCCTGACAATCTGGTTGCTTCTATTGCCAGTGCTGACTTGAATGCTGTGTTTCCCACCTTAGAATGACTGTGTAGTGGTGTTCATGGTAGAATTACATAGTTTCTTATAAGAGTGTAACAAGCCCAACGTTTTTATGTAAATAAGATACTAGCAGTATCTTGTGGAAATTCCAGGTCTGTGTTTTGAATAGTCTTTCTGTATCCTAGGAACTGAACAAGTGGAGATCAGGGGCGCCAGTGGTAGCTCTTGAGTTCTCTCCTGAAAATCCTAATTTAAACATGTCCGTAAAGTACAACCCAAACATTGCCACAAAAAGGGGAAAACCAAAATTAACTTCCCCTAAAATATGACCAAGTGTCTCTCAGATACATATTCCTAGATGCTGACATCACCATTTATTTTTATGCTGATTTCATTGGATGCTAGGGAGTTACATCTCTTCTCAGTTACAAATTGCTTTCAAAGTAAGCATCTTTAAAAAAAAAAATAAAGTAAGCATCTTAGATTTCCCTCGGTAAATCATTTACAGTTTATTACACATCACTACCATTTAGAACAAAAATGCTTAGTGGTTGTTTTTAATTAGACTAACAATGGCTACCACTTATTGAGTACCTATACAGAGGAAGCATTGTAATACACATTTAGAAAGATATTTCCTCACTTGGTCCTTAGAGTGAAGGCATATATGCATACATATATATATATATATATACACACGTATGCACACATATATTTGGTGCTGTTCCCATTTACAGATGAGAAAATGGAAGTGTCAGTTTCCCGATATACAGAGCTAGTAAGGGGTGTGTCTGAGTCACAGCCTGGCTCTTTCTTTCACACTATGCAGCCCTCCTCCCCGTCTTTCTCCATGCTCATTAGTGTTTCCATGGATTTTGAGTAGGCATAAGTAGACGTGTTCTTTTTGGTGTTCATAGTCACAAATTATATGAATTATGTTGTTTCTTTTACAAGAATGTATTTTCATGTGTTTCCATGGTTTCATTAAAGACTGTCCTTTGCATACTATCTTTCTCCACCTCTTTTATTTTTTTCAAATTTCCTGAACTTGATCTGTTTGATTTCCAGTGTTTGATGGTTTAGGTGATCTTCTGATGCCGACCATGGCACCGTCTGGGCAGCCGGCACCTGTTTCAATGGTCCCACCCAGTCCTGCAATGGCAGCCAGCAAAGGCCTCGGAGGTGACCTTGACTCATCTCTGGCCAGCTTAGTAGGAAGTGAGTAGTCTAGTTTTATCTGCATGAAGCATATGTGAATTGGATTCTGTTTTTTCTCTGTATCTTTTCACATCTGTCTCTGGTTTTGCTTACAGGTAAGTGTATTAAAGAGGGGCTCCAAATAGCATTTCACCCAGAGCCTTTCTTTAGAAAGTAAGCACTTGATATTCCATTGTCATGCAAAAATACCCACATCACTTTTAATCTAAATAACCAAAAAGAAAAGGCAATTAAGGAGCACACACTGGCATGTACAAGTAAGATACAAAGGCATTTCTTGTAAGTATGTAACCATGTGAAAATACAGTTAAACTAGGTGCGGCATATTTATAGTGGCTGAGTTTGTTTTTTTCTTAATAAGTACTTACTGATTGGGAAGTATTCTTCCAGGTATTAGAGATGATTTGGTGAACACAATAGGTAAAATTTCTATTCTTATGACTTTCACAAAGGCCTGAGACAGAACAGTGAAAAGTTTATAAACTAAGTAAATTCTGCTTTATGTTACATTGAGAGGGCCAAGTAGGAGCAAGCCTCCCTAAAGTAAAGAGTGAGCTTCGTAGTTGTCAGAAGAACGTATGGAAACCTGGAGATTAAAGCTGGATGTGAGGAGAGGGACAGTTACTGTGGACACTGGTCTTGCTTTAACTCTGAATTTTATTTTCCACCAAGACATATGGGTGTGCCTTTGTGGATGGATGTCTTACAGTATTAGGCAATAACGAAAGCTTAGCAGTCCATACTTCCCTGTGCCTCTTCCCATGAACATTTCATTCACATTCTTGTGCTTGACCTGAGCATCCATAAAACTGCCTTTGTGACTCCCTGGAGACCTTGCGTAATTATTCCTTTTCCTCAACGACCATCTCGCTGATGGTTGGTGAGTGCACAGTGTGCTACCCAACTTGCTTGTCCAGCGCACCGCCTTCATAGTCAACCACCTGTGACCAGTATGTCAGCTAAGGAAAAAGCTCACCCACTGGAGCAGTAACTGGGACATCTTAGAAACTGTAAATGAATCTGAAGGAGTAATTGGTTTTCTAAATCTTTCACTTAGCCTTATATATTCATGGCATATATCATGTTGTAATATGCGCCAGGATATCACTTTTTCAATCCAACTAATCGTTTATTATAATGAAAGTGAACTACTATATATTTATATATAATATACATATCTATAATGTACGTATATATGTATACACATACCACTTTTCACTGACTAGTGAATCGTATGGCTGTTTCCACCACGAGGCCTTTAGAAATGATAATTCTAAGAACATCTGTACATGCTTTCAAACTTGTACGAAGCTACAGAAACTGAGACAAATGCTCTTGACATAATCATGAGCCATGCTGTAGACAGAGTACAAGTAAGATTCTGGAAACAAGCCTTCTGCTGTCAGGTCAGTGTTGACAGTGGGGCAAGACCGTTCAGTAAGGGAAAAGGCAGTCTTCAGAAGCATGTTCTGGAGCTGAAGAGCCGGTTCGTTGGTTAAGCCTGATCCCGTTGAAGACCTGACTTCTTTTCCCAGTACCGACACCAAGCAGCTCACAACTGCCGCAACTCCAGCTCCAGGGGCATCGGACATCTTCAAAGCCTTGTTCTGGAACGATGTGAGAGGCCCAGAGAAAAATAATCTTTACAGCATCAAAAAAATCAACTCAAAATGAATAAATAGTAAATAAAACTATCAGGCTCTCGGAAGAGAACCTAATAGTAAATCTTCGTGATCTTGGATTAGGTGATGTCCTTTAAACACAGTTCCTGAAACACCAGCCACAAAGGGCCCTGGAGACATGGATTAGTGGGTTAGAGCTCTTGTAGCTCTTGCAGTGGAACAGAGTTGAGTTCCCAGCATGCATTTGGCAACTCAAAATAATCCATAGCTTCAGCTCCAGTGGATCTGATTTCCTCTTGGGACCTCTGCAAGTACCAGGCACGTTTGTATGTACACATGTGCACATACAAACAAGGAAGCAGGACACTAATACACATACAATTCAAAAGTCTAAAAATGTTTAAGTAAAAAGGCAGCTTCGGAAGGAAAAGGTTCCCAATCACAGATTCTTACAAGGAACTTCCACCCAAAATGTACAAATAACTTCTGAAAATCAACAATAGGAATAGGCTTAGAAACCGGAAAAGGACTTGAAGTGATCTCTCAGGACAGAGATACATGAATAGCTATTCAATATGTGGAAAGATCTTGAATATCATCAAGTCAGTGCAAATGAGAGCCACAGTGACGGACCACTTCACATCCAGAAGGGTGGCTATAAAGAAGAAAGCAGATGGGAACACACGTTGGTGAAGATGTGGGCCACTGAAACACTCAGACACTGCTAACGGGATTGTAACACATGTGACTACCGTGGAAAGAAGCGTGGCAGGTCCTTGGCATGATAACAGAGAAAACTGTACCTTTCAGCAGTTCTACCGTGAGGCACATGGAGTAAATGAGGGTGTATGTCTGTACAAAGGCATGTACAGACGTTCTTAGAATTATCATTTCTAAAGGCCTAGTGGTGGAAACAGCCATACGATTCACTAGTCAGTGAAAAGTGGTATGTGTATACATATATACGTACATTATAGATATGTATATTATATATAAATATATAGTAGTTCACTTTCATTATAATAAACGATTAGTTGGATTGAAAAAGTGATATACTGGCGCATATTACAACATGATATATGCCATGAATATATAAGGCTAAGTGAAAGATTTAGTCCTGTACAAAGACCACACACATACGATAAAAGTCTGAAATGTATAGGCTAGGCAATTTAAAGAGCCAGGGAGTAGATTAGAGGCTGTAGGGTCTGAGGTAAGTAGGAAGGAAAAGGAATAGCTGCTAACAGGCACAAGATTTCAATTGTGACGACAAAAAATGTGCCACAAATGGTAACTGTATACACACTGTGAGGACAGACTTTCTGGTATGTAAATTGAGTCTCACAAAAGGTGTTTTAAATACACTTCCCAGCGATAGCACAACCTCCCACGGAGATAGCACTGCAACTTGTCCACTCAAACTTGTCCATTCTCTTCATGCCAATAGTAAGCCTCCTGGACGCTACTCACTCAAGGCCTTCTTCCCAAGAGGTCTCATCCGCAGCCAGGCCCACACCTCCTCATAGCATTCCCAGCTGCCACAAAGGGATTCATGCATGCATGTGCGTGGAGTGCCTGCCTATTTTTGCCTCTTCTCATGATCAGTATAAATATTTGGTTGGCTTTGTAACTACTCACTGTAGAGATTAAACTATATAATCTAATTGAAAATAAACTTTTTAGAAGTGAGACTTCTCTCTCTTCCAAAAATAAAGATGACTAGCCAGGAGTGGTAGCACATACCTATCTATGAGCTCAGCTATTTGGAAGGCTGAAGCAAGAGGAATTCTTGAAACTTAAGAGGCTATCCTGGGGCAACAGTAAAATACAGTCTTTTTAAAAAGTGATCAAAATTATGTGTAACGATTTCTGTGTTTGCTTTAGTTAATACGTGTAGCCTAGTTCATAATGCTAAGAAACTAAATGTGAGGAATATATATTAAAAGTCATCATGTAACAAATCGGCTACACAGCTGACTGGGGGCTTTGTGCTGGCTGCTTCCTCATCCTGGAGAGCTCAGCTATGGGAAAGCCTCACCTTCTCCAGGAGGCCTTCCCCCTGTCTGCCTTCTCACCTCATTCTCCACTCCTAGCATCCTGTGTCATTTACTTCTGCTACATCCTCATTTCTCATGTGTGTCACCATTAGAGTGCAGGTTCCTTCAGGGTGGGGCTTTCTGAAGGCTAGGCTAATGCCTGATTCAGCTAAGGGTCAGTACATCTTGGCCAGGTTTGGTAAACAAAGTGCAGTGGGGTGGGGGTGAATGTGGGGGAGATGGGGATGATTAGACCAGGTAGCCCCAAGATCACTAGTGGGGCTCCCAGGGCCCCACACGTGGTTCAGCTAACATCTGATCTTCACCACAGCAGGGAGAAAAGGGCACACAGCTGGGTGAGATGTTCCAGCCCAAGAAGGTGTCACCAGACAGTTGTTTCATAGATCGTTTGGCACACACTGCCTGGCACCTAACCAAGTTCTGGACTTGCAGAAGGAAGGCGGTGTTTAGCTAATCAGCAGTGCTGGTGTAAACCGTCTGGACACGGTGAGCCAGTCAGTCATTTAGTCGTTATCAGCTGTCATTAGAGACAGCTTTGTATCACGGAAATAACTGTCGGCTGGTCAAGTTCCCAGACCCCGAGCCTAACAGGGCTTTTTCAGATAGCAATCCTAGACCTTCCGGGCAAGTCCATACTAAACATGATCCTTAAGTCTGTTGTGAAGTAGAAGAAAACTAACAATTCCAGCTTTGTTTACTAGCACAGTTTCTTTTTCATCCAACTGGATACAGTCACTGCTAGGCAACAATGCAGAACTTTTCTAGGCCTGTGAGTCCCGGATTTAACTGTTATATATAAGCTGAATATAAAGATTTAAATTCTTTTTCTTTTATCCATTTGTAGATCTTGGAATTTCTGGTACCACATCAAAAAAGTAAGTGTTTTTCAATTTAATCTGCTCTTCTTTTGACAATGTGTTTGTGTGTGTTTATTCGAGACTGTCAAACATTTCATTCACTGAAGTATGTTATTTTCCTTTTTTTTTTTTTTTTTTCTTTTTCGAGACAAGTTTTCACTCTGTACCCTTGGCTATCCTGAAATTAGCTCCATAGACCAGGCTGGCCTCGAACTCACAAAGATCCACCTGCCTCTGCCTCCCGAGTGCTGAGATTAAAAGTGTACACTGCCACCACCCCATAATTCCGAGTTTTAAGCTAGGTAACTTAAGTTGTTTGTTTCATCCTATATTTTTTGTTCTTAGTCTATTGAAATCTCCAAGTTATTGCTCAGCTTTGAAAAAGAAAACTTTTTCAGGCTAGGATTGCCACTGTTACCTCTGGAAATGTTTTAGGATGGAATTTTGAGTGTTTGTTTGGTTAGCTGTTTTTTTGAGACAGGGTTTCTCTGTGTAGTTTTGAGTATTTTAATAGCTTTAAGTTTGAGATCCAGCACAGTAATTTCTGACTAATACTGATTTTAACATGTCTTTTCTGGGCCACAAGAATGATAAACAGCATATCCTCTCCTCAGATGTATGTTTTGTGTTTGAAACTGGGATGCATGTTACAGCCATACAATTACAAGTCACGTTTTAGGCATGATACAGTTGTGTGAAACCCTCTCTTGAACCATTTAAGAATGAGAAAAGACTGTCATCAGTGCGTTTTCCATTCAAGAAGATAGAGGGCTGAAGAGAGAGCTCAGTGGTTAAGAGCAAAGGTTATTCTAGTAGAAGACCTGAGTTCTGGTCCCAGCATCCATGTCACATAGCTCACAACTCCCTGTAACCCCCAACTCCAGGGAATCCGACACCTCTGGCCTCCAGTACATGTGTATAACCACACACAGAAATGTATACACTAACTAAAAATGACAAGTAATTCAGCAAGATATAAGTGTCCAGACTGATGATGTATTATTTGGAGTTTTAATTGTGCATAAAGAATGTAGTTGGATTTTTCTGTCATATTTTTCTGTTGTAAGTAACATAAAATTCCTATTGTTGCTGAATCCAAAACTCTTACTTATTTCGAATGTTTTTATGCTGTCATAAAAACACAGCATGGTAAGACTCCTCTGCAAATTTAATTTATACTCTTTATCATTACCGGGTTCAAACAGACGACTCCTAAACCCAGATAAAAGAGTCCAAGAAGCCACATGCCATTTTTTTTCTTCTCAATGTTGTGTTCTGTTTGTTTTTTGCACCTTCCCTCTAGGGGAGATCTCCAGTGGAATGCTGGGGAGAAAAAGTTGACCGGTGGAGCCAACTGGCAACCAAAAGTCACTCCAGCCACATGGGCAGCGGGCGTTCCACCGGTACGTGACATCAAGGCCAGGGTGGTGTGGGCAGGTTACCAACTTTCAAGTATACAGAGCAAGTGTGTTCTGCATAGCTTGACTGTTCACGTTTATACACTCTGTTCACGCTGAAGTGACATAAACACGATGCAAAATTGAGTAAAATGCAAGTCCATTAACTTTGCAAGGAATAATGATTGCAATCTATGTTCGAATACCTTGTGATTGCATAAAACAGTTAATGATAGTATTTATGTTTCTGATTTATTTGTAAAATTGCAGAAATGATTTTCCAGCACATTGCCTGTCATGGATTATAATATCGTTTTATCATACTTCTTGCCAAAATCTCCTGGTAGTCTTAAGTAGGTAATGAAAATAAAAGGACGGTTAATGTACTCACTAGTTTTATGTCAACTATAGTCTTTTTTTAAAAGATAGAATTGCAGTTGACAAAATGCCCTCCCAAGACCAAAATGTGGTGCATTTTCTTGGTTGCTGATTTATATGGGAAGGGCCAGCTTACGGTGCGCAGTGCTACTTCTGGGCTAGTGGTCCTCAGTGGTATGGGAAAGCAGGCTGAGCAAGCCACGAGAGCAAGCTGATGAGCAGCACTCCTCCGTGGCCTCCTCATCAGTTCCTGCCCTGACTTCACTTCAGGTTGGACCATCAGCTATAAACTTTCCTCCCCAAGTTGCTTTTTGTCGTGGTGTTTATCATAACAATTGGAACCTAACCTAAGATGGGTCATTTTTTTTTTTTTTATTGTGTGAGATTTTATTTTAAGACCATATTTTTTCAGCCCACCAATTTTAAACTTGAAACGAGACCATCTTCCTTTCTGTAAGGTTTTTAAAAGATACTCGTGTATATATTTTAAATCCCTGTATCTTTCATTCTTTAACAAAACTAGGTAAGCATCTTTTCTCAAGCCCGCTAGGAGTTTTCCACCCTTGGGGACACCCCTACCTTTCAAAGTCTGTTGCTTCAAAGTCTAACCCTGTGTTACGTGTCAGAGGATAGAATGATGGAAGAGCAGGCTCACTGAGGTCCAGCTCTTTCATGGTGTGGTTTGGGCAGAGAGGGAGAGAGGGGGTTAAGAAGCTGCAAGCCCTTGAGAATGATCAACACTGCAAAAGTATACCTCAGACCACTCTTATGGGGCCAGTCAGCCTTTAAAATGTAGAAGTGGAGTCTGAGGATGTTTTGTATCTCTACACACACAAACTTGAAGTGCACACATTTCAAAATGACAGCTTATCATTTTAAAACCATGTTATGTTGTCTCTCTTTCGATTTGTTCTGTGTGGTTCTGTGGGTATGTGTGTACAGCAGGGCACTGTTCCACCAACCAGCTCAGTTCCTCCGGGTGCCGGGGCCCCATCTGTTGGGCAACCTGGAGCAGGATTTGGAATGGTGAGTGATGGCGTGTGCCAAAAGCCTGTAGTTGACATTCCTGACATCTTCACAAATTCTCAAATGAGCAGGCGCTCCTACAGGAGATACAGAAAAGGAAACCTCAACTTAAATCACCTGCTTTGGGCCTCAACAAGCCTAGCCAGGAAATGGGGAAGTTACAATGTGCATAAATATATTGCCATCAAATTACAGTTGATTGTTGCCATCATTTTGGGAGTGATTTTTACTATATATTTTAGCTCATTTATCAAAGTCAACCCTTTCTGTACTGGGACTTTTTACTCTGCACTTCTGTCACGGCATGTTTTAGGGCCATCCCACTTTAAGAACATTAGCTTCTGTCTCCTCAAGAATTACTCCAACTGGAGATGAATACACAGCTCCTCATCGGAGTGGGGATGCCACATGGCCAGGCAGGCTTGTACACAGCTCAGGGACATTTCCCCCATCTGACAGCCTCAACACCTGGAGTTCAAAGTTAGATAATCAATTACACTTTCTACCTGTGTGGTTTTCGCAGAAATTGTCTAAAGCATGTAAAAGGTGTGCATGTGGGGTTTTGCTCTTGTGGGCACCAGACCTGCTCTAAGTCTTCCTTTCTTTGTAGCCTCCTGCAGGGACAGGCATGCCCATGATGCCTCAGCAGCCAGTCATGTTTGCACAGCCCATGATGAGGCCACCCTTTGGAGCTGCAGCTGTACCTGGCACACAGGTCAGTTCCTTAGAATTCACGGTACCGTGCATTTACTCCTAAACATAAAACTTTCATGCTGTTAATAGTGGTAAGGAACAGAGGCAAGAGACACAGGTCCAGTGCTCCACCATCACCAGCCTGAGGAGTTGTCCTAGGCTTTTAGGGATTCAGGCCAGACTGGGTTTTATGGCTTGAAAAAAAAAATTTCTGGACTAGCCAGTATAAAACAGAATGATGGTTAATAGTGATTTAACAGGAAGATTGAAAGAAAACTGCTCAGAAAGCAAGCCACAGCTTAGAGCATAGGTGTAGATGTCTCTAAAACTGTCACGTTTCACTGCCAGATGTACAGTTTGAGTAGGTTTGAAAACACTATCTTGGAAGAGTGCTAAGGGCCTTTAGAAAGATCAGGTCACTGGGTGGTTCTCAGGTGGCCAAAAGGTAGGGTATCCATACTGTAAACAGTGTTAACAGTTCTGTTTGAGATCCCCCAGGATACTTAGAAAACTGTACCCAAGGTTTAGGCATAAGCATGGTCCATTAACATAAAATATCTGTGTATGAAAGGAATGTTATTTCTCCTGTTAGCCTTCACAGCAAATGTTTGTTGGGCTGGAATTCTTGCTTCAATCAGACTCCAGGGTGAAGGGCTCCTTTTCTGCCTCATGGACCTATAATTTTTCCTGTCTCTCTATCCTGTCTCAGTGTGTCTGTTTAAAAGGTGATCTTACCTAATGGCCCTCTCATAGCTGCTGCTTCAGGAGAAAATGGACATGGAAGCAGTGTGGAGTGTGGACACCAAGACAAATTACTAACCATCTCAGGGTCCTTCTCTTTCTCCTCTCCCTAATTCATAAGGTTCATTTGGGGTACCTGATACATGTGTCACCATTAAACAAGTTCAGGTTTGGGAGTGTTTGTTTGTTTTAAGATGGTTTCATGTAGCCAGGTTGATGTCAAATTCATTATGTAGCCAAGAGTGGCCCCACTCTCTGCCTGCATCCACTTGCCAACCGCTGGATTACAAGTGCTTGCCACCACACCCAACCAAGTAAGAAGTCATAGTTTTCTGGGCTGGAGGGTCTACCCAGCCAGTACTTCTGACAGACAACAACACTGAGTTTCCAAACTCCAGAGTCACCATAAAAATAACTTCTCTTCCAACACCAGACACAATTTTGGGTTCCCTAGGGCCACCCTCACTTCAGACCACCTGTACACAAACCTGAGGTCCTCTATGACTTCCCTGTGCTTGGATTTCACATGATACCTCACGGGATTCAGTAAAGTACAAAATTTATGGTTATGGTTCTGTTGATGTGAATGGATACAAATTAGAGGAGGAGATACGGCTAGATGGAGGAGAGATGACAGGAACATCTGGCAGAATCCAGACATGAAACTGCTTTAAGCGTCATGACAGTACTGCCAACTGCAGGAGATCACTGAGGTTTCAGTATGGCATTGTGAGGTTCCACTGCACAGTAATAATTGAATTATTACGTATGAGCTGAACTCAGTCTCCAAACCCTCACCCACACTGGAGGCCATTCTTGCTACTATGTGGCCCAAAGACTCACAGCATGATAACCGATTACCCTTTCTGGTATGGCCAGCCTCCGTCTACTCTGTGTCGTCGCTCTCATAGGGAAGAGCTTCTATGAGGTGCCTCGTTAGCATAAGTGTCCTAGTTTGCTTTCTACCGCTGAGATGAACACCATGACCAAAAAGGAGCCTAGGAGAAAGGGTTTTGTTTCAGCTTACAGTTTATAGTCCATCATGAAGGGTTAGGGCGGGAGCCTGGAGACAGGGCAAAGACCACGGTGGGATGCTGCTTAAGGGCTTGCTCTCCATGGCTGGTTCAGTTTGCTTCCTTACACAACCCAGGGGTACTTGTCTGAAGAAGGCATTACCCACAGTAGCTCAGGCCCTCCCACATCAATCATTAATGAAGAACATGCCCCACAGGCTTGCCCACCAAGCTGATGGTTCCTTCTTCCCAGACTCCAGCTTGAATCAAGTTGGTAGGAAAAAAATAAAAAAAAAAAAAACAAAAAAACCAAAAACCTAACCTATACAAGGGCCTTCCAGAAGCAACCATGAGTAGCAAAGTCATGCCCATCACTCAGGACAGTACTAGCGTTTAGAGTTTATCTAGCAGAATCCAGAATGAAGGAAAAACCTGTTTTGGGAGAGGCTGAATTCCCTACTCTACCATTCCACCTACAGAAATGCATGATGCTGTTTGTTTTGCTGCTAATACTGACGATGCAGGAAGCCACCATCTCTTGATTCTTTTATTATTGTTGTTATTGTTATTATTTTTTATAATTCATTCACTTTGTATCCTGACTATAGCCTCCTCCCTCATCTCCTCCCAGTCCCACCCTCCTTCCCTCTTCCCTACCCTCACCATGTCCCTTCCCTAGTCTACTGATAGGGGAGGTCTTCTTCTCCTGTCTGACCCTAGTCCATCAGGGCTTATCAGGACTGTCTGGATTCTCTTTCTCTATGGCCAAATAAGGCCACCTGGCCAGTGGGAGGTGATCAAAAAACAGGCAACCCAGTCCATGCCAGAGACTGCCCCTGCTCCGTTTACAAGGGAACTCCCATGGAGACTGAGCTGCCCATCATTACATCTGAGCAAGGAATCCAAGTCCTCCCATGCATGTCCAAGGTTAATTCATCAGTCTCTGCAGGATCCACTAGGCCCAGATTTTTTTGGCCCTGTTGGTCTCCTTGTGGAGTTCCTGTCCCCTCCAGGTCTTTCCCCTTCTTCCATAAGATTACCTGCATTCTGCCCCAAGTTTGGCTATGAGGCTCAGCATCTGCTTTGATACCCTGCTGAGTAGAGCCTTTCAGAGGCCCTTTATGTTAGGCTCCTGTCCCATTCCTTGTCTCCTCCCATGTCCGATGTCTATCCTGTTTGCCCTTCTGAATGAGGATTAAGCATCTTCCCCAGGGTCCTTCTTGTTGTTTAGCTTCTTTAAGACTATAGATTTTAGTATGTTTATCCTATAGTATATGACTAATAAAGAAAACACAAACAGAAAAAACCCTGGAGTTGGAGAACTTGATTCCTCTTTTAAAGTATCTGGAAAAATAAAAAAGAATGTGTGGAACCATTGAACTTTTTCTCCCAGAGCAACTGGCCTGGACCAAGTGAGAACCCAAAATTATAACTTGAGTAGCAACTTGCTGAGCAAAACTAAACTGAACAGTTCAAGCTGAATTTAATGATGTCAGAAAATGGCTTCACTCTTGTGGCATTTCAGTTGTACCAAAGGGTATTTATATCATCTTATCAATAGGATACTTTTTTTATTTGTTTGTTTGTTTGTTTTGTTTTGAGACAGGGTTTCTCTGTGCAGCCCTGGCTGTCGTGGACTTTTTTTGTAGACCAGGCTATCCTGGAACTCACAGAGATCCGCCTGCCTCTGCCTCTCTGAGTGCTGAGATTAAAGACGTGTGCCACCATGCCTGGTGTCTTACTCAAAATATTTAAATATTATTATTCTTAGTGTGAGAAAGCCTTAATGTCATTTCATTACTTAAGATAATTGTTTTTTTATAATACCACCAGTTACTACTTGATTTGAAGAATAAAAATTAGAAAACATCATAGGATGAAATACAATTTTATCAATAATTGATGTTAAAGCAAGTCAAGGAATAGTATACAATATCTATAATATTTATTTAAGTATTTTTTTCTGTCAGATTTGTACTGTAAGGCCCTGGCTGGCCAGGAACTTAACTATATAGATTAGTTGGCCTAAACAGGTTCATCTGCCCTTGCCTCTCATGTGCTAGGATTAAAGGTGTGCACTACCATGCCTGGCCTGATATTTAGATCATATTTCCTCTGTCAAAGAGAAAGCTTAAATAGCCAATAGAATAAGCAAACCTGCATTTATGGCTTTCTGGTAGAAGGCCTTTTGTTGTTATTGTTGTTGTTGTTGTTGTTTTTACCAGTGCCTAGGCTATCTCAGAATTATTTTAGTTGATTGTCCTGTAGATAAAGCCTTCGTTTTCTGCCAAGTACATTCATGCTTTAGCATTGATTTTCCTGACATTTCTGTGAAAAGTTACCTTGGTTTTACACACCAGATTGGTAGATAATCATTCAGTCCATTGGATGGGTATAGGAACAGATCTCAGGTATGGGATCCTGGCTTCTGGAGCTCTCCTTCCCAAACCACACACACAAAAACTCTGCCTCACAGATCCAGATTTCAGGAACTGTTCATCTTGAGATGACTTGGCTTCAGGACGTAGATGTCAATCATTGCTCAAGGCAGGCCGCCTGTGGACTGTGTAAGGCTCTCCATGCCACTCCTGAAAAGCAGGGCCCCAGAAGTTTCTTCTGCAGCTGGTAATTACAGTGTTGGATAAACACACAGGATAAGATCTGTGGGCCTTTGCTTCAAACTTAAGTGGGCAGGATATGAGGCTGGAAATGACTTGTTCATCTGATAAACACACTGCCCAAAAGCTGTTTCTTTTAAAATAATTTATATGATGCACTAGTGTATTTAGCTAATAATTTAATCTCTTAGCATACTGTCTGCAAAGTTATGTCACAGTTTCCTCCTGCAACTTACTCTTACTATAAGAAAAGCCATAAAATTGTTTTCTTAGTTTGATGTTTCTCATGATTCAAAGTAACAATGCTCTTTGCATAAAAAAAAATCACTATATTCCCTTTCTCTCTCTCTTCCTTACCTCGTACCCTCTCGTGTGTGTGTGTGTGTGTGTGTGTGTGTGTGTGTGTGTGTGTTACAGTATATTCTCACATCTTCCTAACTCAAACTGTTCTCCCAGAGTTCCCATATTTCACCTTGGCTGAATCTGATGTCAAAGAATTTCAAGAAATACAAACATCATTCTGGTGTGTTTCCACCCCAGTTAAGCACAGCCCAGATTAAGTAGAACGAAACAGCTGTATTAACTTGTAGCCATCTGTTCTTCTGTTTGTTTTCTCTGGTATATGTTCTGCCTAACGCTCACCTGTCTCTCTTGTGCTTTCTGTTTCTGCTCTTTGGGACTGGCCTTTTCCCCATTAGCTTTCTCCAAGCCCTACACCTGCCACTCAGAGCCCCAAGAAACCTCCAGCCAAGGACCCATTAGCGGATCTTAACATCAAGGATTTCTTGTAAACAATTTAAGGTATCTGGTATTGAGTTTTTCCTGTGAGCTTGTAAAAGTGAGCTTGTGCAGTGTTTAACTGGTCCAGGTATGAGATTTGTTACTTCTCTGTTATAAATAGATGATGGATGGATAGATGAATGGATGGATAGATAGAGAGATAGAGAGATGGAATGTTTAGAGCTTTACAGTTGACAACAAAAGTCCTTATCAGTGAAATTTTAAAATCTTAATTTGTTAAACTATGGGAAGAAAACCCTGTCATTTGTTTTTATTTTGAAAAGCATAAAAATCATACCAAGAGGCATAAGTCTCCCAGGCTACTAAATTAACTGTGAGATACCACTGTATCCCTGATGACTAGACTTCATAAGACACCAGCATTTACAGTACTGGATTTAGAAGTCATTTAAAAATACATTTGGCTACATAACCACATCTTTCCATTGTCCTTATTTCTCAGCTTAAGGTAAACCTTAAGATTTCTACCCTTTGCATTTAGTCAAGCTGAATTTTAAATTTCTGGCAATCTAGTTTTATATTTCATAAATTTAATTTTCTAAATGGTTCACAATGAACACGAGAGAGGAACTGGTTGATGGGGAATGTTTGCTCTCAGCCTCAGCACCTGACATAGTAGCTGCTTACACATATGCTCAGCATTACTTTACATACTTACTTAACTTTTTCCCTGTCAGATTTTTGCTCTGTTTTATATCTGAAAGAACTAATCCTTGAGCATGGAATGATTTTCAAGCTCTGGCCAGAGGAACAGTAAGAATGTGGGAACTTTGGACCACAGTGCAGTGTGATTTCTATTATACATACACTGCCTACATTTATTAAATGCTGCCTTTTTTTTATATGTGTGGAATCCTGTCTTTTTTTTTTTTTTTTTTAGATAAGATTAACAGTAGCCAGGGATGGTGACCCAAGCCTTTTAACTCCAGCACACTGGAGGTTGCAGCAGGAGGACTGAGAATTCATGGCCAGCCTGGGCCACGTAATAACAATCTGTTTTAAATGAAACTGTTGATGTACCATTTTAATACCCTGCCATCTCAGTCAAGAGATTTTTTTTTCCTTCTGTCTGTTCCTCTTGGATCAAGACAAAGTAGGCATGTAAGACCTCACTTCTGTCTCAACTGTTGGTTTGAGAACTGCTTAGAGCACTCAGAAACTCTTGCTCCCATCGCATGCTAAAAGCCTTGGTAAGTGACACAGAGGCTTGAGACAGTCTCTGTCTCCAGGATTCACACCCCGGGCAGAGAGACAAACAATTTATGAAGAAGAGATTCCAATCTCTGACACTAGAGAGAGTTTTCCGAGAAAACAGCACATGAATAAAGTAAACAAAGGTAGGAGAGAAGGCATGGGCCCCCAGGGCTCACCATCTTTTCCAGTCCAGACTTGTCCAACTGCTAAGTGTCTCATTGAAGTCACTGCCTTTCCATCTATTTTTGTCACCACCCATATTTACAGATCAGCTCTTAGTTGAGACTGAAATGTGTCACAACTAAAATTGCTAGTGTCAACGTTTTGAAGGTCATTGATACTTTTTTTTTTTTTTTCTAAAATGGAACTACACATAGAATTAAGTTTCCTGAGTGAATTTTTAGGCATATCTTAAAGAGTTTAGAACACTGTAAATGTGAGTTTTGTTAATCTTGGACCCTTTCTGTGTACCAGTGTTTTGCATTGTAAAGAGAAAACTGTAAGGGAGATATAATGTTTGAGGGGTGTGTGCGCTGTGTTTTCTAATCCAAATACTTTTTTTTTTTTTTCCTTACAGCTGCAATTTTTGTGACTGAATAGGAAAAAAACAAATAACCTGAGTTTGGAACCTTCAGATAAGATCAATGCTCAGAGTTTCAAAGTGAGCCACCAGTACCTAACCCAGTGCTGACTTGTAACTCTCTCTTCTGAACACACAGCGCGGCTGTGACAGTGAACATTAGGAATGTGTACTACCTTAGCTGTTACCCCTACTCTCCGCCTCGTAGATATTCGGGTTATTCGTGTGTTGTACGGCGTAAACAATGAATGGACGTTTCCAATGCCTTTAGTGCTTTTCTGGACGTTGCCCATGGACGGATGATGCAGCTAATGTGCAGTGAGCCATTTGGAAAGGTGTGTCTGTGTTTTTGAAGGTTTCAATGTATATATCTATAACTTTTGGACAAACCCTCGAGTCCTCCCATGAACTCTCTTCTGTACCTCTGTTACAAGCGTAATGTGATACTATCAGCTAGTGAGGAAAACACTCTTAAATATATGAAAACTTTTTCGGTGTGGAGTACATTTTTCCAATCACAGAAACTTCAACTGTTGTGAGAAATGTTTATTTTTGTGCACTGTATATGTTAAGAAATTTTATTTTAAAAAAATATGAAGTTTAATGTCCATAATAAAACTTCTCCTTGATGAAGCTACCTTATCGAGAATGAGAAAAATCATATGAGAAGTCCATATTTATCACTGCTATATTAAGATATATATTTTAATTATATTTGCAGGTTGTGCATCTAAATTGACCTATTTATTCATTCTTGATCAAAGGCACTGAAAAGTGGAGTTTGTTTCTATCGTGTCTGTGAAAATGCAATTAGAGATGTGCTGTTATGTGACTATGAACGTGCCCCAAGAGACATCTGTACTTTAAAGATAACTGCAAATATTTTTATTTCACTGTGGGTTTATGTACATCTGTTCAGTTGGTATTTCTTTGTGTGTTCTATAGACTAGTGTTTCTCCATCCTTCGATTGAGCTCAAAGTGACTTCTGTTGTACCTTTGTGATTAAGACTGAAACTGATTCAGCGAATTGTATCTTTCAATGTACATACTGTATTTCTTGATTTTTAATTTGTTGTCACACTGTGCTGATGGCTTGGCTGAAGATTTTGATGCGTATACAAGGTCACTGTTGATCAGTGTTGTTTAGTGGCTTGGCAGCTCTTTGTAAAAGCATATTGGGTTGGAAAGGCATTTGCCTATTTTTCAAATTATTTAATAGATGTATGGTACCCTTTAAAGTGGTTGTATCTGAATCTACTGTGGGGATAACCTACACTGTAATGGGGGAAAATTACCTAATACCAATTTCAAAATGGCTTTTCTTTGTATTTTGGTTTAAAAACCCAGTGCATGTCTGCCCTCTGAGATGCAATAAACACCTTGAACAAAGAAAACGCAAACATAATCTTTCTTTGGTTGCTTCTCAAGGAAAAGATGTGTGTCAGATGACATATGTAACATATACAAAATATGAGAGTACTGGAGAGACGGCTCAGAGGTTAAGTATCTACTGCTCTTTAAGAGGATCAGGGTCTGGTTCAGAGTTTGGACCACACTGGGTGGCTTACAACCGCCTGCAACTCTAGCTTGGGAGAGAGCCAAAGCCGCCAACGTTTGTGGACAGACTCACTCATGTGTACATATAGCTCCTCCCCTCCACGCCCCCCTCAGCGTACGCACAGTCAAATACACATAAAATAAAATAAAAGTATTTTAATAATTTAAATACTCAAGAAATTGTATTTGTGGCAAGTCTACATAATTTTTTTTTTAGTTTCATTTTATAAGACGACTAAGCAAATCAATTTTTATGAACCGTCATTAAACTGGGGGTTCCATCATGCCTAGCAAATATCTTAAGTTCTGTATTGAGAAAAATGTGTTTACTTTTAGGTGAACTTTTTAACCGTGTAAATAAAGTTTTTTTAAACTGTGAGAATTCCATGGAACTTGAATAGTAAAGTATCTGAGTCCCAATTTACACACACAGTTGAATAGACTGCTGTCACATAAAATGTATCCCGATATGCTGTAACAAACCTGGGTGGCTGTGCCTACAGCTAGGTGGCTGTAAAATCTCCCCAAATGTCCTCCAGCCTTGGGACTGGAGTGTAGCTAAGTAATGAAGCACTCCATTAATACGACCAGGCCCTGGGTTTGATCCTAAGCGTCACACATAGAATGTCAGGAGGCGATTTTAAAACTCCTCTCCTTTGGTTACGTGGGGTTTATAGCTTGAGAACGTCCTCAGAAGCCAGCATCAGATCATGTCAGGTGATTTTTAAAAACATTTACTGTATGGATATCTGTGTTTACCTACATGGGTGTTGTATTCCGTGTGTATGCCTGGTTCCAATGGAGGTAGGAAAAGGGCATCAGATCTCTTGGATCTGGGGTCAGCAATGGTTGTGAGCCACCATGTGAGTACTGGAAAATGAACCTGGACCCTCTCTCCAAGAGTAACAAGTGCTCTTAACTGTAGAGCCATCTTTCCAGTCCCCTTTCCAATCTTTCCAATCCTTCAAGTGATTGGTTTTGTTTTGTTTGTTTGTTTGTTTTTTATAGATTGCCTTTTAACCATATATTACTTAGTTGCCATATGATAAAGATACCTTTTATATCATAAATATTTTAAGTTTAATTTTTGCACATTCCCACCCACCACGGTTGACTGTCTCATGTGGTAAAAAAAAAAAAAAAAAAATTTAGTAGGCAAACTATAAGAGCAGAATAGATCTTGGCTATACAGAGACTCTTGATACAGAGACTCTTGATGTCCTTGTGAGGGAGTGGTCTTAGAGATGAAGTCCTGCGTGAAGTCTTCTGGATACTGAAGACTCAAATCATTTGAGATGCACTACAGGACATTTGGTTTACCATGGTGTTAGGTTGAAGATGCACATTTTCTATATTTTTTAAACAACCTGTTTTGTGGCACTTTGTGGTTAATTACCTTGGGCTTCAAAGAAATGTCTATTTATGGAGCTGGGAGAGATGGCTTAGTGGTTAAGAGCATTCGCTGCTTTTGCAGAAGACCCTGGTTTGATTCCCAGCACATGGGAGCTCACAACCACCTACCTTTTGCTTTAATTGCAAATTTAATTTCAGGGGATTCATTGCCCTCTCCTGGCCTCTGGAGGTGCCTATGTGTACATGATGCCCATAAACTCATGTAAGCACACACATATGCACAAGTGTGTGTGTGTGTGTGTGTGTGTGTATTTGTATGATGTATGTATGTCTGTATGTTTAACCTGCTGTAGCTGGCAGCTTAGCTCATCCCGATACATTCTTCAGACTCCCCTGTGTGAAGGTAGAGCCTTGCAGACAATGGGAGGCCCTTCTGTCTGGGCTTTAGCGAAATAGCAGTCACACCTAGCTCATCTCTCAAAGCTCCGGTGTGTGATCTTCTTAAGTTCATTTCTACATCTGACAGGCAGGCTTCATTTTCGAGTATAAAATCCTGTCTTAACTGATTTTCAGAGCAGATGTTTTCAAATTCCTTAATCTCGGGACCCTTTGGCTCCGAAAAGGTACTGAGGACCTGTAAAAGCTTTTGTTTATGCGAGCCGTGCCTATCAGTGTTTAACATACAGAGAATCAAGCTGAGAACATTTTAAATTTCCACTTAATTCCTTTTACAGCAGAAGTGTTAAAATATTGCCCCAGCTTAATAATGTTTTGTGAAAATTACAATTTCCGCAAAGATATTTGGAAGAGCAGTGCCATTTTGCCATCATTTTTGTTGAGGTTGTAATTACATCGTTTCCTTTTCCTTTCCTCCCTCCAAACTTTTTCTCTTTCAAATTCATAGCCTCTTTGTTGTTGATTGTTATTACATGTATATATATGTATGTATGTAAATACATACATACATACATACATACATACATACATACATGATATTCCTAAATATAACTTGCTTGGTCTATATAATTGTATGTACGTTTTCAGGACTGACTGGTATTGGACAACCAGTTGGAGTGCTTTTCCCTGGGGAAGACTTTTCAGGCTCTCGGTACTTCTTAGTTGCCTGTTTTTTGTTTTGTTTTGTTTTGTTTTGTTTTTGCTTTTTTTTTTTTTAAATTAGACTTAGCCAAAGGTAGCCATGCTCCCATTGCCACTGCTGCATTCCATCTGTGACAAAAGTGGACGCCAGGCAGTTGGCTGGGAAAGTCCACTGTGTGACAACAGGAGAAGATGAATGTAGTGTTAGAGAAACGATGCACAGTGGTGCTAGAGGAACAATTTTGATCTGACAGGCCCCTGAAAGGTTTTCAGGGATCCTCAGGAAGCCACCTACCATGCTGAGAGAACCATTGCTTTAAATCTAAAAGACTTGAAAAATGTACTACTGCATAGACATATGTGTGTGGGGGGGGGGGTGAGAGCTAACCTCCACCGTTAGCTGTGACTTTTCAGATGCCCACCTCACAGTCCCCACGTTACCTTTTTTAGTGGGGTTGGAGTTCGTGCAGGAATGGGATCGTGCAGGAATGGGAGCGTCTGACTGCATGGAAGGGAATTCCCAGCTCAACCACCCACTGTTGCCTCGGGCAAATTGCATAACTTGTTTAAGCTTTCCTTCTCTCTTCTGTGGAATGAGGCTTCTTCTACTTGTGTACATATTGTATGAGGTAATGACTGGAAAACATTTGGCACAATGTAACACTCAGTAAATACTGCTGTTGTTACTTTTAAAAATTACTGTGTGGACTGAAAAGATGGCTCAGCAGTTAAAAGTAGCAGCTCACAACTGTTTGTAACTCTCATCCCGAGGGTCCAAGGACCTCTTCTCTGGCATCAGGCGTACTGCCTGACACAGACATGTAGACAGAGCACAGAAAATTTAAACACAGACAGAAAATTTAAATTTTAATTATTTTTTCTTTTTTTTAATTTATTTTTTTAGAAATCACAGTTTATTTACTTTGTACCCCAGCTGTAGCCCCCTCCCTCCTTCCCTCCCTCCCTCCGTCATCTCTTCCCATGCCCCTCCTCCCCTTCCTCTGACCCTAGCCTATCAGGTCTCATCAGGACTAGCTGCTTTGTCTCCCTTTGTGGCCTGGTAAGGCTGCCCCCCCCCCCTCAGGGGGAGGTGAGCAAAGAGCCAGCCACTGAGTTCATGTCAGAGAGAGAGTCTGTTCCCATTACTAGGAAACCCATTTAGAAACTGAGCTGCCATGGGCTGCATCTGTGCAGGGGTTCTAGGTTATCTCCAAGCATGGCCCTTGGCTGGAGTATGAGTCTCAGAAGAGACTCCTGGGCCCAGATTTTTTGGTTCTGTTGCTCTCCTTGTGGAGCTCCTGTCCCCTCCAGGTCTTTCTATCTCCCCCTTCTTTCATATTTCCTGCACTCTGCCCAAAGTTTGGCTGTGAGTCTCAGCACCTGCTTTGATACCCTGCTGGTAGAGTCTTAATTGCTATAATTATGTTTGCTCTAGATTTCATTTTTCCATTGTAAGAATGGTGAACAGTAATAAAACATTTAAATGGTGGAGGTAGTAAGGCTTCATAATAAAGTATATCCACAGAAGTACGTGTTTTAAAATCAGTACATGTGTTTATCCCATATGATAACACAACTACATACAGCACTGGCCTGGAAAGCAGTGTCCAGCCAGGCACTTGCAGCATCCAATGCGAAATTCAAACGCGTATCCTCGGGAGCTCTTCTTAGGGCTCTCAGTAGCTAAAGTCACTAAGGGCAAGCGTGAATGCTGCTAACGGTTGCCACGGGCCAGGGACCTTGAGCGTTTCTTCTCGGAGATCAAGAAGTTTAACAAACCACGTGTGCTGACAGGGATCTTTTAATCAAGAAGAAATAATGTGGGGATGGGAGATGCTACCCTGAGTCGATATGAGAGTGGGGCTCATTGCTGCAGCCCCCAGAGCTGGAGGAGGAAGATACGTTTTAGAAGAAGACTGTGCTACAGGTGACTATAATATAATGCAGCAACCAGGCTTGTGGAGGACAGCCCTGCACAGGCACGAAGCCAGGAAGTGTCCCCTTGAGAAGAAGAATCTTCTGTGTAGCCATATGCTCTGCTGCTAAACCAACTTCTAATACTAGATTCCCCTCCAGATGCAGCAGCCCTGCAGCCCCTCCCTCCCTTCCCTCCCTCCCTTCCTTCCTCCTCTGCCTCCCTCCCACCCTTCCTCATTCCTGTTCTTTCTGAGGCAGTCTCACTGTATAGCCTTCCCTGGCCTCTCCCACCTTCTCATCGCCACTTCCTTCTGCACTCTTTGGGTCTTTGGCTAAAGTCTGCTCAGACTCACCCACTCCAGCCCAAAAGGTGCTGCCAGAGGGTTTCCTTCCCTCCGTTCCCCTCTGAAACCATTCCTCAGGCTTGAAGATCTGCAGTGGTTCTTGGTGATCAAGGTGCAAGCATTTTAAGGATTCCATTCCAAGCCTTTCACTTCCTAGGCTAACCAGGAAGCCTTGTTTCCTACTGTTGCTCACCACTTGGAGGCGCTAACGGGCAGCAGTCTCAAAGGGCATTAAGCCCTGGTGAGACCCCGTCACTGCTTCCCAAGGCTGTCTGCCCCAGGCTGCCCCCACACCTTCGGCATGCCATTCATAAACTAGCTAGTCTGGGTTGTCACTACTTCCAGGGACCGGCTCCTTTTATCCTGCCTGGCCACTCTAGCAGAGCCTGCTTCGAAATGTGCTTCTTCAGTGAGGTACTTCCTGCCTTCCTGCTGTGTAAATACAATCCTCACTAGACTGTGCACTCTTTAAGGGAAGGTAAAAATCTAAAACTTAACTCCACATCCCAAGAGCCTCAGACTTAACTCAGTGAAAGCCCCTTGGGGTACATTGGTCTCACCTAAAGTATAAGATGAATTCTGAAAACAAAAAATAATAAAAGAAAATCTAGCATCTCATTCCTGGGAAATGAATAAAACTGGATTTTGTCTTTCATTGGAAACTGATTTTAGACACTTCAGAATTTTGCAAACTTGATTTGTTTCTTACCCGTAGAAATACGGTGTTAGAGCAAGTCTATTCCTAAAATGTATTTTCATTTTGTAAAAACATTGAAGAGTGCCTTCTACGTATGTGGTCATTAACACTAACACTTTCCTCACCAACGTATTGTGAAATGGGTTGTTAAAAAAAAACCGGGGGATACAAAGTGAATAAAATGTAATTAATAAAAATTAAAATAAAAAAAAATAAACAAACCACAAGACAGGAAAACCTGAGAAAACACCTAACCCAGAAGAAAGACAAAAGTTCTACTGAGCATGTTTGGGAGCTGCAAGAGGCAGGGGAGCCTTTCATTTGTAAGAGAGCCTGTGGCCAGGACTGAATGCCAGTCCAGAGCTTAGTAGGATCTGGAATGCTGGACTCCATCTTGGGGGTTCAGGGTGGGTCTCCATGGAGCCCTGGCCATGGTATTTCTAAGGTAATTCCCTAGGTCATTCTCACTATTAACCAAACACAGAAGCCTCTACACTGAGGGAAAACCCTGCACTATCTCAAATCCACGGACTCGCAGTCTGAGACTCAGGTTGAGTATGATAGATGGTTCTAACAAAAGAGATTTTCTAAATATTTTAGAATAGGAAGGCTAGGGCCCTTGTTTCTGCCACCCTTAGAATGGAGAAATTTAGTTACTAGGCCTGGAAAGGTGATTCATATCACATGATGGCCTATGTGTCTCTACTGAAACCAAGCTTTAATTTAGGTATAGGGACGCTGTGATCTGTGGGTGAGTGACTGCTCAAGACATCCATTTAAGGAGCCACATCAGTCACATCCTGGATGACATGGAGTGACACAACTGGCTATTTGGTGGGTGCAATGGTGTCACTTATTTCCCCAAGCCACAAAGCCTTCTGGTGTAAATGTTCCAAGTGCAATGGCAGAATACTAAATTCAGCTCTGTCTTCAAAATACCAGCCTTCATTTTTCAGCCCATTGCTGGAGAAAGTGCCAGTTCTGGTTTGTGATAGGATCTTGGCTCTGAGCACATCCTGACCTTGAAAGCTGGAAGTTTAGGAATGGCATAGCAGTGGGGAAGGGAGGAGATCTACCTTTAGAGAGAGACAACATCGCACTGGCCTTCCTGGCTCACGAACCAGCACACACATGCCTGTTCCCCCACATCTGCACTAGTTCTTCAGGGAAACATGGCTGCCAGCCCGCTGGGAACTCTTCGGTCTGCCTTTATGAATATGAGGTGAAACAGAGCACAGTTGGTTTACTGTTTACAACTACGATGATTATCTCTAGAATCATGTGCTAATCATGCTGAACCTCTTGGGAAAGCCCCAAATTTGAGAAAAGCAGAAAACAAAAATAAGCCATTCTTTCCTTATGTTGCTTTTGTCGAGTGTTTTATCACAAGGAAAAGTAACTAACACTGAGACTGTATACATGTTACCCGACCCCAAAGAAACTGGGTCTGCTTCTCAGTATATGTTCCTCTTCAACTGGAAGCCATGACTAAATGCCTCTCAGGAAGATGAGCACTAAAGACAATACATTTTAGTTGAAGGATAGTTAATTGAGCACTTTCTGGTTTTTTGGTTTTTTTTGAGCACTTTCTAAAAATCCTTTGAAGCACATTTGCAAACACAGTAAGTCATACATTTCATTTATTTTTTTTAATGTTGAATTATTTTTAACAACTCACATTGCAAAAGAATGGCAGACATTTTGAACACCATTTACAAAAATCATCATGATAACCCAAATGAAGATACTTCTTTGTATACTAATCAAGACTATAACAGAAAACTAAAATAGGAAACTACAATTTCTTAAATTGTAGTCTTTATTAGGACACGTCTAAAAGAAAAAAAAAAGTTTTACCCTGGCAGTGAATTGAGTGTGTCACGAAAGGAAAAATATGTGGCCTTAGAAATTGACAGAAAAAAGTAGAGCAAAGATTGGGCCCTTGATTACTAAATTTTAGAGTGTACTTGATTATATCATCAAGTTTGTAAGCATATTCCCTGACCTAACCCCTGTTGAGAGCCATTCACCGCGTACTTGTTCTTGGCTGAGATGCTCCTGACTGCCTGCTCTGCCTTTTGCCTTAGGGTGATACACACTAGCTGCTTAATGCTCCTCAGGAGGCAGAGTGAAGATGCCATGTTGGTCCCTAATGAGAACCATCAGAACCTTTTTTTGCTATCTCAGCGATGGGGTGGGTGGGTTCTCTTTGGAAGAAGACTTCAAAGTCCCTCACTTTAAAAGTACAGCAACTCACACACAGTAGAAAGTATAACACGGAAGGGTGTGGCTTCCAGCCGGGCATGGCAGCTTGTGAAATGGCTTCTCGGTATTCCTTGAAAACTTCATATTCTGAGATTTAAATAAAAACTTGAGCTCTGAAAGTGTCTTCAGTTTTCAATTTCTTGTAACTTGGTTCGCTGCGCAGAAGAACAAAGCGTTTCCCCGGTTTTTAGATGGACACGGCTGATGTTGGGTTGTTGTTGTTTTAAGCCACCATTAATAGTTTTGTTTATAAAGCTTACTGGTTCGTTTGATTTGTAGTTTTTATATGTTTGGACCTGTGGCTCTTAAAGCAAGTACCAAGAGAAAACGTGTCAAGCAGTGAGGGCGGGGATGGAATGGCTGCGTCTCCCTACAAAGGAAACCTCGCCTTCCCGGACGCCTTCGTGTTCCTGCAAATCACTGTGTTTTCCGTTCAGGTTGAACGCGTAACTACATCCTCCTAGGTTCTTCTCAGAGTAGGACTCTCCAAAGCGAGTCGTTACGGTTCTGGTTGGACGTCTTAAAGAGTGTCTGGTTTACCAAGAAGGCCCACGTAAACGGACGGTTTCCCCCGCAAACGAAATTTAGCCACCACGTAAAGAGGATAGACTTGTCGCTGAAATGCCGTCTAGTTTCAGTATCTGTCCCTAAACATCCTAATTTCATGTAGCCTCTCTCTATAGGTAACCTAATTTCAATAAAGGAAGTCCGTTAAAAACAAAACAAAAACAAAAAACCAAAACGCTGGCCTGCCACTGACAGTTCAAATCCGGGCCCCGCCTGTGTCACAAAGCGAGCCTGGGGCTTCCTCTGGGATGCCGTCTGCCCAGGACCTCGCCTCACTTTCCCCTCAGCCGTAAGCGCAGTTGGCTGCGTTTCCGTGGATCCAGAGGCAAATCTGGGCGTATTTGAGCGGAGTGATGCGCACGGCCACGTTGTAGTCCTTCTCGACCCCATGCACGTCAACCCACCGGTGGCCCGAGTAGACCGCGACGACCTTGCGCTTCCAGTGGTTTTGGCCCGGCTCCTTGAGCCTCAGGTAGATCCCAGAGCCGGTGGAGCCTGTCTCGGCGTCGCAGTACTGGTACAGGAGGTCGTCGGATTCCTCAGAAACGCTGCAAAAGCGATAGACCAGCTGATCGTCCCTGTCGCTGTCAAATCCCGAGAAGTGGATCCGGCCTCCGGGCAGCTTGGTGATGGCGGGGCTGACCCCCAGCTCCAGGGGCTGCTGCTTGTGCACGCGCTTCAGCTCCAGGAGCGCGTAGTCGTAGTCCAGGGCCGGCTGCCCGCTCTCTCCTCTGGCCCAGCCTTTGGGGATGTGGGTGCTCTTGACGCGCGTCCACTGGAAGGAAGGCCTCCCCTGGGCGGCCCTCGGGCCCCGCCTGGGTTCTTTTCCCCGTCTTTGGGTAGCGCTGTCCATAGGATGCTCCCGACCACCAAGGCCACCACCCTCCGCCGCCTCCCTCCGGCTCTTCCTGGAGCCCCTGCGTCTCTTGCGGCCTCCTTTGTTTCTCATCTTCAGCACTCCAACCCGAAGCTTTTTACTGCCCTTGACGTAGTCCTTCCCGTCGTGGATACAGTGAGCGGCCGTGAGCACATGGTTCGGGGAGACGAGGGCGCCGCTGCAGCCTGTGGACAGCTTCACCGCTGTATTAAAGGGGAAATTGGTCAAGAACCTTTTGTCTAGGATGCTGAACCTGCTGTCCGTACCGTACACCTGCCTCCTCCTCCTAGGGCGTGCTCCGTCTATGGTGCTGTTTTGAGAGGGCTCCTGGACCAGACCTTGAACTTTCACCCTGGTTAGGGTCCGGGTGCCGTTCTCGAAGACCGTCTCGTAGGAAAGGGAGTCTTCGAGCTGGGAGAGGCTGGGAGCCGGAAGCTCTTCCTGACATTCGATGCCGCACGCTGCGGCCAGCACGGTCCCAGCGTCTGCCTGGAAGGCCGGGCTGGCCAGACGGACAGTCCTCTCCGTCACAACCTGGGGTATTCTGCTCAAGTGCCACGTGAGATCTGCTTCCGTTTCAGACCCGTCAGAGAGGGCCCATCCAGGGACGAAAACTATCAGCCAAAATAACATGTTTTTCATCTTGATCTTCTGTTTCGCCCTTTGAAAATAGAAAGAAGGAAAAAAAATGAAAGAGTGGTTTTATGGCCTCTTGGTTGTCAAGTGTTACTTACCTTTCCGTGTATGCTTTGGGTCCTCAGTGTGCCTCCATCTTGCACAGATCTTTGTTTTTACCCGCCTTACATCTACGCTGATGCTAAGTGGACCCGTCACAGGCATCCGAAATTGCCAAGTAGTTCCTCACGGAGCTCTCTTCCTATGGGCTGTACCTCTCCCTCTTCCCCTGCCCACCTAGCTCCCCAGGCAGCCGAGTGGGGGACAGAGAGTGGGACCCTGCTGGCGTGTCTCACTTCCACAGCATCTCCAGGTGCTTACTGCCCCGGCGGTGTGAGTAGAGACAGAAACAGGCATCCAGCACTTCCTCCCGGGGTACTCAGCTCCTGAAAAGCAGGAGCATAGCCTTCTACAAATGACTGTCGGTTGAGAAACCCTCCCTGGAGTTCAGAACTTCCCCGAGCCCTGAGGGCTTGCCGGAGGAGCTGGGTGTGGAGATGTGCATCCGATGATGGAGTTTAGGAAGAGGTGAGCCCATCTGCTGGTCGCCTGCTCTGATATCATATATGCATAGGACACACCACACACACACATTCACACACAGAGAGGGAGGCGGTGATGGGGCCTGGAGAGTGAACGTAGGGCTTCATGCACGCTGGCGGGCACTCTAATACTTTCACCCCTTTTACTTTTTTATTTTGAGACACAGTTTTAATTGCACACGTTGACCTTGCTTGAGCCTGCTTCGTCGTCACCCCCTGGCTGCCATCTTTGATCCTCCTACCTCAGCCTCCTGAGTAGCTGGGACTTTAGGCCTTTGTCACCAGACCCACACCCTGGCCCCTTTGATTTTTTTCTTTAGAATAGCTTTTATTTATTCATGGACAGTTTCACACAAACATACAAAGTAACCCAACCTTGCCTGCTACGAAAGAGCCCTCCCCCTTACTCTCCTAACACCTGCCCCTCACACTTTCATGTTGTACCATCTGCAGGGATGTGGGCTGCTCTCGCTGCCTGATCTTTTGCAGCACCCTGGATGGGTAACCACAGCGGCCCTGGGTTCCCCCTGATCATTACAGACGCCTTTGCCATGAAAAGAAGAAAATACACAGTACAGTACAGACCACCATTACGCTGAAGTAAGAAACATGTCCTGTAAGTTTTAAAAATAAAATTTTTTTTGGGGGGGTGGGACCACCATTTACATAACAGAGCTTTCATAGTGAAATTTGGTAAGAAAATTAGTTTAAGCATTTGTGGAGCACAGAGCACGGTTCTTGATTTACCACTTGGAGACTGTGGCCATAATACACTTCCGTCTCTTTCCATCATGGCTCTCATCGGCTAGGCTTTCCTGATATTAAATATAAAGGTACCAATGTGTGGTTAGTAGGTGTAAGACCTGGAGTCTCACTGCTCAGGATCTCGCCCTTCCCAGGAACTCTCACAGACCACAGCTCGATGCAAAAGCAAGAGGTTTTATTGCTATCGCGATAGGGTCACCCCTCCAAAGACAGGAGACAGCGACCCGGAACATGCAAAGCACAGGGTTTTTATACCTGAAAATCAGCTCACTTTGCTCTATAGTTTACAGCTGGTTGTAGATAGTTTACAGCTGATTGTTTCTCAGAACAGTTCACCCCGCCCTTCAAGAGCTCTCTGCACCTGGCTTCAATTCAAAGAATCACAGTTGTTTTTTCTCATTCCCAGGTGGTCCCTCATAGGTAATATAATACCCCTCTGCTGTTTGCACTGTTTCCTCTTCTCCAGGCGCAAAGACATGTAAGCATGTAAATGTGGACACTTAGTGGGTTGATGTTCACACGCTACTCCTCCAAGCACAGTTCAGGACCTCTTTCTGTTATCCATAACCTAGCATTCAGGCAATCTGTAACTAACAGCTTAAAAGCATGGTTTAGCGAGTGGTTTTTACATTGTTCAAATCAGAGAATCCCCTGCAGCTGCAGTTACAGGCGGCTTTGAATCCCTCTCCTAACACGGGCACTGAGAACTAAATACACTCTGGAGGAGGGCCTGCCTGGGGCTGTTTCTGTGCTTGCTTACTAGCTTGCGTGCTTGCTTGTTTTTGAGACAGGGTTTCTCTCTGTAACCACCTTGGATGTCCTGGAACTCCCTCTGTAGACCAGGCTGGTCTCGAACTCACTGAGATCTGCCTGCCTCTGCCTCCCAAATGCTGAGATGAAAGTTGTGCCCTACCATGCTCAGCTCGAGAGTTTTAAGATTTGAGATACAATTTGCTTTTACATTTTGATGGTTCCAGAAACTGCACGCAGATCGTGGCACATGCTAAGCAAACACTATCCCTGAGCCCATTTAAAATTATATTCAGGGGCTGGGGAGATGGCTCAGAGATTAAGAACACTGGCTGCTCTTTTAAAGGTCCTGAGTTCAATTCCCAGCAACCACATGGTGTCTCACAACCATCTATAATGAGATCTGATGCCCTCTTCTGACATGCTGGCGTACATGCAGGCAGAACATTGTATACATAGTAAATAAATAAATCTTTAAAAAAATAAAATAAAATTATACTCAATATAAGGTCTCACTGTGTAACCCAGAATTGCTTTAAAGCCATAATCTTTCTGTTTCAACCAAAAGACTGGGATCATAGACATGCACCATCAGTCCCAACTACACATTTCTATAAAGTTACTTTTTAAAGTAAGCCCTTTATGGTAACTATCCGTTCTGCACTTAATATATGATTACATCAAAGACTGAAAGTCACCAAGTAGCCATGTCAAGGTACACAGACTCTGCATATTTTTACATGTGATTCTCTATTCAATAATAGCCAAGTAGCAATCATTCTTGGGCAAAATCCAGGCTATGGAATTGTTTCCACCCATCCTATGGAATTGTTTCCCAGCTAGTTTTCCAGTCCCTTTGGTCTTACAACTCTCAAGCTAACTGGAGGTTGGAGAGATGGAATAATACAAATATTAGGCGATAACTGACAAGGCAGATTTTACCATGCCAGTTACTGAACTCAGATATCAAGTTTCATGTTCCCTTTGTCTCCTGGCCAGACTTTTAAGAGAGGGTTATGAGAATTCGATTGTATTCAAGTATAATTTATTGGCTTCTTTGTCCCACCGACTTTTAACTCTGTTATCTGAATCAAAGGTCACAGCCAACACTTCTGAAATTTTCAGTCATGTCGGTCACTTCTAAACCACACTTTTACAGACACAGCCAGGAACTTGTAGGCATGTGTTCCCCAGTGCGCGGATGCTTAGATAATCATGTTCTGAACCGCCAGTAATGGTGTTGGAGCCACTGTCATGGTTGCTCACCAGAAGGGCACGTTACATCAGACAGCATTCTGAGGTCCAACACGGTGACACCTGGGAACTTGTTAATGGAATCCTGAATGTTGAAGGAGAACATTTATTTAGAAGTAACTCTGCTGCAATCATTACCTAACCTGGAGATTGTCTTCAAGATTTTCTCTCTCTTCAAGGGGAACTGAAGAGACAGCTCAGCCATTAGGTGCTCATACTGTGCTCGAAGAGAACCCACGTTCAGTTCCCAACACTTAATTCAGGCAGCTCACAACCACCTGTAACTCCAGCCCTGGAGGAATCTGACATGCTTGGCCTTCATGGACACTGAACTCTCTCTCAAACTCACAGCCCACACAAACACTGGCATACACAGAATCAAAAGCAAATATTTTCTCAACAAGAGATCTAGCTGAACAAGAGGGGGAAAAAATGAAAAAGCAAGCTCTCCTGTTGGCCATCTTCTGTGAGAATCCAAACAGAAACAAAGTTTCTATGGTGCAAGCTGAGTGTGCCCAGAAGAGCTCTTGTCCGCCATTTTAACTTTTCAAACATGTGCTCCATGACCTTTAACCTGAGCACACCCCAAAACATGTCTTCCATCTCTCCTTCTTAAACTGTCATCTTAAACTCATCAGTAATGCATTTGCCACTGAAGTGCTTTTGATATGAATATTTACAGGACCCACTAATAAAATAACGGTGCTTCTTTTGTTTGAGGAGTGCATTGCTTTGGCATCAAATCCAGTGTCCTTGCCCAAATGTAGCTAATGAGTCTTTCTCTACCCCTTACAAAAACAAAAACAAAACACAAGCTAATTATCAGAGCCTACCTCACACCTCCTGTTAGAATGTCTCCTAGAGGTACTACAGAGATGGTTCAATAGTTAGAGCAAGTGTTGGAGGACCCAGGCGGAGTTCCCAGAACCTACAGGTAGATCCCAACAACCTATAACTCCAGTTCCAGGGGATCAGATGCCCTCTTCCGACTTTTTCTGTTACTAGGCATGGGTGTGGTACACATACAGACTAAACTCTCACACACAAAAAGCTAAATAAATAAATCTGAAAAGAATTAGAAGTTCCCATGGAAGGGTTGTGGTGTCCTGGCTAACTATGCTGCAACCAGACTTCCAAATACATTAGAGACTCAGTGAAGTTTGAGCGACACCGAAGCAGCCAGGACCCTGGCATCGAAGACTATCTTTCCAGTGATGATTGCTTAGTTGGGCTCCAGATAGCTTCTACTCTATCTTTGTGTACGACACAAACTTAATTCTGACTCTATTCTTTTACCGAGTCAGCAGCCACTAATATCAAGTGGTTGAGATTTAATAGAAAAGAAACACAGCTTATTTATACTTACATAATGTAAATGGTGTCACATGTCTGAGACAGCCAGTTGGCTAGGCTTGTATGAATGCCGCCTACGTCCAACACCGTGAATCATATGATGGCATCGCTTCTCCAGTCCTGTTGGGAGTATCTCTGGAGCGCACCCACTGGAATAAAAGCCATGCCCGTGTCTATCCTTGGCCAGGAACAAGGGCAGAGCCTTGTAATATGACCTCTAAATCACAGTAATAAGAGGGCCTTTGCTTTAGTTAGCCCGTCTAATTTGGTCTGTAATTTCAAATTGGACTGATGTCTAGGAAT